GAGCCTATCGAGTAATATCACTGCGTTGTCTCGTCCCGCAATGAGCAGCATCATCGCACGCTGTCGTCGCCTTCAACAGATGAATCAAGCGGCGCAGGATTTCGACAATCGCTGATGCGTGGGCGCACTCTGTGCCTGAACCAGCCAGGGCCGTGCTGATTAAGGGGGAATGCGAATGGGAATGAAGAATGCCATTCGCGCTAGCGCTGGCATCGGCGCCTCAGCCAGTACGTACAGGCGCAGCATTCTGCTCGCAAGTGTTGCACACCGTGCTCGACGGATAGCCCCAGGCTCCGTGGTAAACAACCGCCACGTGTCATCAACGGATCCTGCCTGGACTTCCCTGCACATGGCAAACGTGAGCTGCTGATCTTTGCTCGCCCTTTTTGAACTTGTTTCGGAACTGGAGGCACTTACTAGTCCCGACGCCAGTCCAAACTGAGCTAAAAAGGCAGTGCGGTAAAATGCCCTACCTGGTCCAACAAATTGGTTCTTGGAAGAACGTCGGATCAGTCGTCTCAGCATCCACATCCTTGAATACATGGCTGGTCGTCGGTGTATTGATGCGGATGCCGTATGCGGCTTGCTGGAGCCGATGTACCACACCCAGTCCGATTCGTCTGGGCACACCGCCATTGCAGCCGGTATTTACAGCGACACCGTCAGATCCCACCATCGGTTACCCACCGGTGTGCTCAGCTACGGCCAGCGAGTGGCGAGGCTGTGTGACGCGTATTCGTACGGTCGGATGTGTGTCGCCGATGTATGTGACCCTACCCTCACTGCTTTAACTGGATCGCTTCCTATGTGAAATGCAGTCAGATTTCACTATTGGCAGTCTCCTGCTGTCTGATGGGCACGTGGTCATTTTCCAGTCGCACCCGTACACTGCAGCCACTGACCGCACAGCAAACCGACGCTTGGATGGCGAGGACGATAACTGCAGCGGCGTCTTCTTACAATGGTGACATTACAGAGACTTTAACGCATGAGTGCGCTGAAATATTGTTGTGGACGTGCCGTGCACCCCAACTAGACGTGCAAACGTTCTGTGGTCATCGTGAACCTGATCGACGTCGCCACGAGGTTGACGCGGCTGAACAGCCGCCCCGGCTCGGCCGCTGACACCGGCAGTGCGGCGAGCATTCGCATGAGCTTGTGAATGTTGGGAAGCAGGAGGTCCGGGCTTTTGTGTGTTGTCTGTATCACATATTTAACAGCTACTTCCTACCTTTCCACATTTCCAGCCAAATGCGCTCAGCCTCAACGGCTGGTACGGGGTCCAGAAACCGTGCATGCCGCATCATGGTCAGCTTCATTGCTGTCCAGTTCTTCATTCTTGACGGATACAAGCTACAGAGTTTGAGTGGCGGCTGCTGCGGCTGCCCGAGGCAGGCGTGAATCTGGATGAGGATGCTGTCTTGCAAGGGGATAAAGCAGCTTATCTTAAAGTACTCTGCACCATCCCGGCAATCGGCCGCGTTGAACCGGTACACCGATCTTGGCACACAGCGGGGAGGAGTGATATCGATCCCCAGGGCCCGAACTGCGTCACCTGCCTTGTCCATCATGAACCCAAACTTCTCCTCTGGCTTTTCTCTGCATCCCTGCAGCAGCCTGACGCAGACATCGATATGTTCTGTAGCCTCTGAAACGTCCGAGCCCTTGGCCTGGAGATCACGGGCGACTGGTTACACTACACAGGGCACAGCTTCAAGCGCATGCAGTGTCACCAGAAATTCTGAAAAGGCGATTGTAAGCATCCGTCTCTTGGCCTGATGGCAGCAACAAGCAGATGCGCGTCACTGTCTCGAGGTTAAACACTGCCCCCTTCTGGTCCGTGTCGGTCACCCCTTGACACCACCGCAGTAAGAGGGCGCCTTCGGTGCCCTAGAGCGGTTTCGGTGCTCCTCTAGGGGCGCCTCTACTTTTCGATCGGGGGTAAACGTGCCATAAGTTCCTCCCCTGGATCCGCTCCTGCGCGTTATATACGCAATAAAGCTGCCACATGCAAAATGATGCGTGTACTAATTGTTTTTCTTGTCTTAAGGTTTAACCACATCGTGCATAATAGTTGCTAAGACGTGGGTCAGCCGCCTGGACTGGGTTCTGTATGGACCGAGCATGGGCAAACTGAGCCATGCTGGGTCTATGCAGGTTACAACTGGGCTGATATTTGGGCTCCATCAGGATGCAGAAAACTTGGCCTTGGCTCCGATGAAAATCACAAAAGACGTAATTTAAGGTTTAGGAACTAATCCAAATTGCCATGGAAGTGATAACAGCGACATAGCGGCGGCAAACTTCTAAATAATCGAACACATGATGTGCTGACGTGCTATATTCTAATAAAGTTAACAAAATTATGGCGTTTATGCTCGGGTTAAAATATTTCATTTAGACATGAAACGAACGCTAGAAAGTGTGACGCGTGTGAATGAACGGACAATGCCCTTATTCCTGGTCACAGACACGGGCTTAACATCGCAACACTTACCCCCACAGGGATGGTGGAGTGAAAATATGTCTTGTCACAAAACCTTCATAGGGTTCAGCACGTGTGCGTTAGTACGCGTACACGTAAAATTATGACTTAAAATATTCATTGAACGAGACATGATTGCCGGTAGACCATCTACAAGCCCCCCGGCAGTCACTCGGTAACAATGTGACCGCCGTTATCTGGGAGTTCTGCTTCCGGCCTCGAAAACGGGATGTCGATCCTTAAAAAGTGCGCCGCAAACCATTTGTTCCCGATGACTGTAATGTATCTGCAATGTAGACGATACTGTCATGTATCGTTTTATCTTTTTGGATATCCAAAACACCAGGGGAGAGCAAATCAACACACTAGGTTTCACAAAAAGATGTTCGTCTTTCAAGGTCAAAGGTACCTCACACTGACAGTGGATCGGTCTTAAAGTAGCTTACGTTATAGAACGCAATAACCTCATTTGCACTTCCTTGAAGCTAGTGCTTGCAACTGATCAAAGGCAACAAAAAAGTTGCATTCTGTTACTTAGGGGTCGTCTGTGAAAGCTGAAGAAAAAATATATGAATGGCGTTTTATATACCTACTGTACATGCAATCCGCGGATCTAAAGCACCTAGGTAAAACCAATCAGAGTACTGGGTGTTGCACTGTTATGAGTCTTACAGGACCGACCATGCGAGCCCACACTACACGTCGTTCACATAAGGCACAGCTAGGGTTATATAATATAATTGCTTTGGTGCAGATTTATTGGTCAAGTTTGTATATCCTGTCTCTTAAGCGATTTCATAAAATGGAGTAACCAAAATGAGCTCTTTTGGTGCACGGTTGGCACTCCCTCATTGAAATTGGTGCCTCTCTGAAAATGATGCCCGAAATGAAATTCTTGGATTCGCCTCCGCTGACATGTGGGAAGCCCATTTGGACCCCAGAATAGGCCTGGGTACCAGCCCACCTCCAGCCCACATTAGCGTGAGTCCAGCTTGCCCGCATATGGCCCACATGGTTCTCATCAAGGCAAACATTCTCTATTTGAACATTTCTTCTTGACGTGATGAATTCCAACGGGATAGTGCAAGACACGAGCATTACTGGCGCGTGCAAGGATTGGCAGCTGTGGGCGCCCCTTTTGGGACCGAGACGGAGCCCACATAAGACCCCCACCTGTACACCAAGTCCACTTAAACCAGTTGCTCCACATTCAGGCCATGAGCATCCGACCTGGGAATGCTGGCTGGGTTACCAATTGACACGCCATAGTCGATAACATGTCATGCAAATGGTGGCCTTGGGTCAGGTCAAAGGTCACCAAAACGCTCAAAGCCATCCAACATTGGCTGCAGATGTTGTGCGTAGAGCACTTACACTAAACAATTCACTTCATACAAATTTACATTCGCCTAAACGGTGGAGTACCGTACCGCTCGACCGTACCGCTCGACCGTACCCGGCACGCTGCAGTGCGAGGGGAATGTGAATCAAGACAGAGCTGAGGTGTTGCCGTTGGGGAAAACACATCAGACATCATGAAACGATTCGCCAACTGAAAAAAACATTAAGTGATGAAACTGCCTCTGTCGCTGTAAAGAAATAACTTAAGCGTTAGAAAATGATTGTAGGTACAGCTGTTGGACTTGACATGACCAATTCGTAACAAATTCATGCATCGCACAAGGTACGGTGCCATCTAGCTAGGTCGGAGGCAGACGTATTTACAGCCGCGCCGCCTATAATGCTGATGGCGCTGGCTACGATGGTGACGCCGCCTACAGTAGCGGCAACGCCTCTAGGTGGCGTTGCCTACACAGGCAACCCTATGAGCTGAACTTTTGAGACCAGTCGGCAAATAACCCTCGCCAATCGATGCGGCATGGGTGACACTCGATGCCCTTTCCTTTTCAAAGCATGATAAGCTAGGGTCATGATAAAGGTCATTAGAATCGCCCAAAACTACAAAAAACTATGCTACGTTTTTATATTTATGGTGAGCTTTGACCCAACCCAAATTCGCTATGATCTAATAAAGCCAGGTTATCGATCATGGTGCATTGACTGGGAAAGGTTTTACGCCAATCAGTCACAAAGGCTTGGAGTATTGAGTTGTCTGCAGCAAATTTTGATAGTTTTGGGCGTTCAAGAGTCTTAAGTAACTTTTGACCTGACCCGAGGCCACTTTTTCACCAAAGATAGGTAATTAACAATGCCGCATTGATTAGTGAAGGTTTTATGCCGATCGGCTCAATAAGCTTGGAGTACGGTGTTGTAGGTGGCCTTTTCTAGTTTTTGTTTTTAGGTGACTTATGACCTGACTCAAGGTCATATTTTTTAAAGGATAGTTTTTGACCGGGCGTCATCGAATGTGGAAAATTTCGTGTCGATTGGCGCTACAGCCTTGGAGCACGGGGCTGTTAGTAGGTTTTGTCTGCAGTTTAGTCCCTCCCATTCTGTTATCCTTGGGCTGTTTGTAAATATTGACATCGAGCATGCCTGAGCCCGGAGAGCCCGTGGTTGCATGGCGGGGGCCGGGCCTGTATCCCTCTTTAATAGTCGGGTGCCGACAATGTACAGCTTGTTTCCTCTGAACATGCTAATTATAAAGGGATTGGATTAATCGGGTTAGTCAAGCATTTGCATAGCTGACTAGATGGGAAGAAATAACCTCCCGATCCATGTGACAGGTGTCTGTCCTTTTCCTTGAACGTTTTGTTTGCACTGGAACAGTTCTGCAGAAATTGGGACATGGTATATGCCTTATGGAAAGTAAGCATCCACTTGTTTTTGAATATGGCAATGTCTTATGCTTTGGTGCCAGACTGCAAAAATGCATGTTTTGCTGAACATGGCTGGTGTAATGGTGACATCCCAGCAATAATTTCATGCACATGTGCACTGTAAGTTGAGCACTCAGAAATTGTGTGCAGTCACCATGAAATTAAGTACACAGACAGCCAATGGCTTGAAGCTATAATATTGTAAATGCCATTTTGAAGTAAAAATGTACAAAAACATTTCTGCACCTTTCAGTTGTAAAGTTCATGAAATTAGCCTGGCTGGACTTCAGTCCATGCAAGTGCAAGTTTTAGTATATTTGCATTATGTAGGCTTTTGCTGCAATGATTTTGTTTTGTTTTGTGTGAAGACTGGCTGTGGTGCAAGGTGTTGCCAGTTGTAGTCGGGTGTCATGTAATATCCCCTGTTCTGTTTTAATCATCAGTTTTATTAAGCATGCCCTCAAACTAAGAGCTTGTGTTCACATGCAGATATGGGAAATAACTGTTCACTCAGCATCAGAGATATGCCCAGAGCCCCAAATAGACACAAGGACCTGATCCCAGGATTCCATAAGCATCAAACCCAATGGGATCCTGTATCCACCCTTGGGATCCAGGCACATTGCTGCCTGGAGTGGGTTGAGTCTGTTTTCCACATCATAAGGACATGTCATGGATCTTATGTAGACTTTGCACCCCATTTCTGTCCCATCTGCCTGATGTGGTAATGAACACATTGAGTTTGTTGCTACATCTTCTGGTAAGCTGTTCCATACTGGTGCCACTCAGTGTAAGTTCAGCATTGCTGCCATCATGATGTGTTCTTTAGTGGCTATCTATTCATCTGATTTAAATGGAGTTTCATGGAAATTCTACTTCTGATAATGAAAAGTTAAAGTAGTGATGCATCTTTGTGAGGAAGGAGTTAAATAACATATGTTAGGGCTTAGCAGGACAATGCCCAGCAATGTATGGATTTGGTATTCTTTAAGTATTGTGGTGATTGAGGAACCCCAAGCTGAGGGCAGTGTGTCTGCAACTGCATCGTGCCTCGGTGTGTGCTGGAGCCCCACGCTCGCCACATTCAGATCACGGCCTACCCAGAACGAGGCAGCTGTGTTCCTCGGCCTACCCAGAACGAGGCAGCTGTGCTCCTCGCGCTGTGACCGACGTCCGGTCATGACTCACGCCCGCCAGCACACGTGCCCAGTGAGGTTGCACGCTTTTTCTGCTGCCCGTCTGTGGTTGGGACGGCGCCACCACTCAGGCAGCGGCGCCAGGTCTGTGGCGGCTGTAACGCTCCATCCCGCGTCCACGACCCCGAACAGAACGGCATGCCGACTTGCGGCGCGTCTAAGAGCGCCGGCGGTGTTTGCAGTTGGCGCTGTAAATGGCCGACCCTGGGCGCTATCTCGCCCGGACCACACGGTCGAATGACTGCCCGCTCTAGCTGTGTCAGGTCATGTGCGCCGTTATCAGCCGCCCCCACCGGGCCAAACGGCGGTCGCCGTCCGACGCTATCGATTGTGGGTTCTGTCGCCGCCGCTCGCAGGCGCTGCGCTGCGTCACTCGCAGCTGGCGCGCCGGGCGAGGGTCACGCCGTGCGTCACACGTGTGTGATCGGCGGCGCGCGCGGCCGGTGTCGGTGCAGCCGCCCGTCGACGGGAAAGGTATGGAGGTTGGCAGTGGATGGCGCTGCTGCGTAGATGGTATCGCGCAACTTAGGTACGCCTGCTTAGAATTAAGAGATAATTAAGCATCAGGCCTGCCTATAATTACGGGGAAAATTAAGCATCGAGCCACATTTCGATCAAATCAAGCGCTTAGACCGAAATGTTTTGCCTGTCGGCCACGTCAGGTCACTGAGCTAACATCATGTGCTGTTGGCTCAGCAAAACGGAAATGCAGATCACGCGTCCCATTACGCTGCGTAAGCACTTTTTGCACACTCCCGCATTTTTGTTGGTTCTTTCATAGGTTTATGACATGTAACCGGGCGGGTGATGTGTGTGTGCGTGCGTGCGTGCGTGCGCGCGTGCGTGCATAGGTGCGTGTGAAAGAAGTCGTTCGCTCGCTCATCTCCATCCCTTGAGGAGGGGGGGAGGGGGCTTACTGGATCCCCTTCGTACGCTCGAACGGCGCTTCGAGGCTTGCCTAACGCACACAGCTCGAGCCATAGGCGTGCAATATCTACAGACTATGTTTATGGTGATTCCAGAGGTGTTCAGGGCTTCTGGATCGGCCAAGAGGCACTCCGGTCTTAAAGGAAGGCTCTATGTATGTCAGAGCGGGCTAAATGCGATCAGATGAGGGGGTTTGGGGACCTAAGCGTAAACGTGCGGCTCCTCTTGACAAGCTTTTGTCCCCCGTTCCCGACGAAACTTGACCACGTGCCTGTATGGATGGTGTCAGACAGCGATCCAGCGGTTGATTTCGGGGTTCGTTTGAGGTCGAGTTGGCACAAAATCCCAAGCTTCCTTGCCATCCCATAGGAAGACAATGATAAACAGTTGACCTCTAAGAAGAAAGTCGTGACGTGGCGATCGGAACAGTTTGACACCGTGTACGCCAGAAGCTGTGTAGGTCTCTGAAAATGTGGGAATATTTGACCGCAGATGAACCATGACCGCGGGGCTGCTGCGGTGAAACCGCCAGGCAAGGCATCCCTTGGAACTTGGACATTTGATGGCAGGATGCGTAGGTGGACGCCTGGCGGGAACACCGCCACCGCTCCGGCTTTCTGTTCTATTTTTAATTTGACCGATCAGTGTTGGCTTTGCCGGGGCCTACGCTGACCTTCGCTCCGTCCTGTCAAAAGTGTCTGTCACTTCAGCTGGTGGGGTCAGTTCTTGAACTACGGTTTGAAACTCTTCCATAACTACCTTGGAATGTTTTTTTTCTCTGTCATCATTCGCCCCTCTCCTTTTCCCTTGCCGTGCTTTCCCAATCGTCTTCCCTCTCGAGTCAAAGAAAGCCTTTTCACATCACTGATGCAACCTGTCCACTGCGAAGAACAGAGTCATGGCCTGGTCCACACTCCCGCCGGTTGCCGGGGGGGGGGGGGGGGGGGGCGGGAGGGAGCTTGCCTTGTCTCACCTCAAGTGGCGATGAGTGCGCCCTTCACCGGCGCGCGGAGGCGTACCCTCTCATCTGGCCGGGCTCTGCGCCGCCCCTGCGCGGCCCGTCTTCCCGCGACCTGACGCCAGTGCGACGCCGCAGGGACGATGTCGTGTGTCGGTACCCCTGCTGACCTCCGCAGCTGACCTCCGCGGCGGATCGGCTCGTCGCCGGCTGTACCCGGGGCCATGACCTCACCCCGGACGCAGGTCGGCCTCCTGCTGTGGAAGAACCTCACCATCCGCAGACGGAAGCCGGTGGGTGGCGCGTGCGCCGACACGCGGGCGTTTATAGGTATGGCCTGTGCGATGTTGCTGTCACGGGCCACGTTCGGAGTACGTCGATGAATAGCCTTAGGAATTGTTATTGTCTCTTACGGGTACATCAGTCCGCGTACTGCGCGTGTTCACGGCCTCATCGTTACATGTTAGGCATGGGACACCCGTGTGTCCGTCCCACCCCGGGTGGTTCGAGATGAGTGCGCGCGCGTGTTATCGGTCGGGCAGCGCGTCACTGGGACCGAGATTGAAACCGGTGACGTCATCACTAAGCCCCATGCGATAGGCAGGACACACACACACGATATTGGGAACACATGCGACATGCAGTAGCCGAATTCAAGGCATGCGGCTGTTGGGATAGCAGCGAACATTGATGCTGCGCACGGTGGTGACGTCATTGTACGGTTAGGAGCCGCAGTGTGGTGAACATGGGTCATTGTGTGTCGTAACCCTGCCTCAGCAGAAGGCATTGCGTCTGTAAGTGTTGAGAAGGTTTTCTCTGGCTGGTTTCGCGCACATGGTTAGCGCGTGCAGCCGAGCTAGCCTAGTGCTTACGTGTTCTGTGGATCGATCACGGGTGCAGGGTGTAGTCATCGCCGTTTGAGTCGCCGTTGCAGTGAACGTATATGTGTCGGCGGACCGTGGTCCGGTGCCGTGAGGCGGGCGTGGCGTTTCGTTTCGTTCGCCCGCTCGCGCCGTGCCCAGCCGCCCGCTGACCGAGCCAGCGGCCGGCGCTTGACGCTGGTGCTGGCGCAGGCGCTGCTGGTGACGGAGCTGGTGCTGCCGCTGCTGCTGCTTACCGTGCTCTGCTGGGTGCGGCACCGGCAGCCGCCGCAACCACTGCCGGAGAGTGAGTAGGGGCGACCGGCTGGACATGGGGGGGGGGGGGGGGGGGGGAGGCTTGTGGGTGCACTGACGCCAGGGTCCCGCTCTCCGTGGCCAAACGCTGTCCACTGGGGTGACAACCTTTGGCGTCATAGGGTCATGCAAGGCTGTGAAGAACGTGCGTAAACCCGAACACGAGCAAAAATAATTATGTAGGTCAGCCCAAGGAACTGTAGAGTGCAGCAATGGCTCGTTTGAGTGTAGTTAGACTGGACTAGATTGAACACTTGGGTAAGCTGTGTGGTTAAAAGGATCCTCGTCGATCTCGCCGTCCGCGCGCGGTCCAGAGCTGGCCATTTGCCCAACACACACGACCGTGAAGGTACGCTGGCCGCTCCCAGGCATTGCCACGTAAACAACGGCGTGATCCGCATTTGCTCACCTATTTGCCGGGGCAGGGATGATCGGCAGTGGCGTTACAGGTAAGTCAAGCAACCGTAGATCCAGTGAGCGCGCTCGAAACCGGAGACGTTCAATCGCCAGTGAAGCGCGGAGCCGTGGGGTCGCCCAGCGCCCGGCTCCGGTCCGGCCAGCCACGTCAGGCACTGCGGCAACCACCCACTGAGAGGCGCGCAGGGCCAGGCGGAGGCACGGACCCGGGGCGGTGGGGTTCCTCCGCATGAAGACGCGAGCTCTGACAACGGTGGCGCAGCACCGCAGCGACAGCGGGGTACGCACGCCGAAACACCGCTCCTGGGGCGGGCTCGCGTCGTGCCGGGGCGCCGGCTCACCGTGTCCAGCGCCGCGCTGACGTATCGGTTCTGTGGTGATGCGATGCCGCCTGAAATGCAGCTCCCGATTCCAATGGAGCAGTAAGAGCGGTGGCGGCCTGGTCGCTGCGCTAGCATCTAGTCATCAGGTAGATGTGTACTGAAATGAATGCAAGGCTTTCGACCCGGCTCATTTTGTCGCGGTTTAAAGCCCACAACAAGCCGTGGCGCCCAGCGTGGCGTGCATTGTGGGGCACAGACGGCGGGTGGCGGGAGTAGGTGGCGCTCCGGTCAGGACTGCACCAGGCGCGGGTCGAGTGGCCGGGGTCAAGCGCCGGGGCGGGGCGGGCCGAGCCACGGCCGCTCACGCGTCATCCACGGACAGCTCGACACCAGCGCGGACTCGACAGTGGGGGCCGATAACTTCACATGCTGCAGCTGCTTCTGCTGACTTTGTAGGCCTTCGAGTTGTTTCTGTACTCGCAGTGTCTTGTGCAGACCTGGTTTTAAACGGTGCAGCGTTGAGCTCCCCGACGGGCTGGAGATTGCGCCAGTTTGTTTGACCAGTTGACAACGCTAGGGTCTGCCGACTCCAATTACACTCTACTCTCCTTGTTCAGGCTAGCCCCGCAGCCCCGCGTCATGCTTCATGAGACATCAGACATGAGACATCAAGTGTTTTTCGGAGCTTTATTCAAGCTTATGACGTTTTCGACATGCCTGGCATCAGTCGATGGGCATTGTTTTTTATGCAAGCTGGAAACGTACCTTTAAACGGAAACGGACCATAGAACTCGCTTTATGACGTGAAACACGGCGGCACCGGTGTTCCAACGCTCGCGTTTGCCGCTGAATTATCTTGCGAACGCCGTGGTGAGAGTAGCGACAGTGAGATACGCGAGCTGGGTGAGGTGCCGCGGTGCGCGGCGGTCGATGACCGTGCCCGCCGCCGCGCCCTAGGCAGCGTCAAGTCCAATACGCGACACCACACAGTGCGACATTCCCATACGCGACACGACGCAGTGCGACAGTTCGACATGCGACACGACACAGTGCGACGGCCCGGTACGCGACACGCCATAGTGCGACAGTCCGACACCCGCAGGAGTCACGGATACGCTGTCCAGACGAAAGGTAACGCTTCATGTGCCTGTGTGGTGGTTTGTCAAAATGATGGAGTTAGTAACAGTGAGGTTTCTTTTGCCAGCCAGGTCAGAAAGGCTTTGCCGTCCACGGTGTTGAAAGGAATAATGTAATTTACTATGAATTATTCACATGCGATTGTTATCATAGTGTTGCAAACATCATTGCAATGAGCTGTGAATAAGTCACATGCAATGCATTCAGGATGCATTACTGATGTCACTTGCATTTCGCGTGGGCTTGGATAACCGTCATAAGTCTTTTAAATCTTTACAGCTAGCTACGTGGCGCGTGCCCTGCCCTCTGCTGGTCTGATACCCGTATTAGAATCTCTCTTCTGCACCACTGGAGGACAGCCAGATGGATTCGGCTTCAACACATACCCTAATTCATCGTAAGAATCACGCCGTGAATGGTTGCCAGCGCACATGTCGGTGGAGCGCACACACTGAGTTTGTTCCTGCGTGCTCTCTATGCTATGCTCAGCACCATTCCTGGCCGACGTCCGAGTACATGCACCCTTGCCGAGAATGTTGCAGCGTGACGCAGTCTGGATCAGTTCGGAATGAGCGTGATGTCAATGGCGTGATTGGGGCGCCTGTTGCCGGTAATGGTGACCTGATCGCGTAATGACGGAGCGGCGCGTAAGGCGCCGATCGTCGCGTGCTTCAAGCTGTGGCCGCGGCAGACCGGGTGGATGCGCGCCTTATCCGTTCTGAGGCCTGGGTCGTGTCGGCAGCACACGGGCCGTGCTCGAGTTTATGGAGGATGCGGCCGGCCGGTGGCCGCCGACGGGGCCGGCCGGGGCACCGGCCTCCCCTCCGGCAGACGTCTGCGACGACGCACTCGGACCCAGACAGGTGAGAGCTAAAAATCGCCGGGGTTCGGTCGCCTGTGTCGGCAAAGATTGCCGTTTTCCAACGTCTGCTGGCGCGTGCAACGCTGCTGTGATCTGTTGTGAGGCCCTAGACCATGCATGCCTTTTGCTTGTCGTCATAGATGGTACCTGTTCCCGGGCTTCCTTCCGTTACGTAGCTCGTGACCGGCCGCCCACCGGGCAGTATGGCAGCTGGCTGCCCACCCGTTGCCCTGGCGGTCCGGCCGTGTGTTGTGCCTCAGACTGTCTGTCGGGCAGTATGGCAGCCGGCTGTCCACCTGCTACTCTGACGACCTGGCCGTGTGGTGTGCTTCAGACTGTGTTGGGCAGTATGGCAGCTCGCTGCCCACCTGCTGCTCTGACGACCTGGCCGTGTGTTGTGTTTCAGAACCGGACGCAGGCAGCCAGCGCCATTCTGCTCTGGGTGGCCGTTCAGGAGCTGGTCTGCGGGCAGACGCCCGACCTGCCGCCGCAGAGTACGTACCGGGGACTCGGGCGCCAAGTGCCGTTCTGCTCTATCGCTTCAATAGTGGTGTCTTCACCTGCCGCTCCGAGCACTTAGTGGTGTCTACTTTACGCCTTAGACGACATGGTGGTGTGTGGACAGGCTGCCCCAGAGAACTAAGCGTTGTTTCCATTTGCCCCCCCCCCCCCCCCCCATCCCCCGCCCGCCCCGAGTACGTAGTGATGCTCTTGCCTTCCGGCCTGTCCTGTCTGGCGATATCTGAGCGTGTGATCCCAGTGTACGGCAATACGGCTCCTGGCGCAATTGTTTCCGGTGCGATGGTCCGCATGCAGTAGATCCTGTCGTCTCCATCGGCGGACCCTGGTGACCTATGGGCCCTGATGACATCTCACTGGAATCTTTAAGCGTGCTATTAGCCTGCCCCGGTGTGGTGCTCCCCAGCATGGAACTCGAACTCGCTCCCAGCGGAACGTGTCTGCCCTGGCCCGAAGAGTTAGTGCGTAAAAATGGCGCCACCCTGATCCACGCCTCCCGCTCTCACGGATTGTGGCTCACCACTCCTCTCTTGCTCCGTCTTTTCTGGATAGCGCTGAGGGCGCTGCGAACTGTGGAGTCATGCAAAGATCTCTGTCTCGTGGTGTTTTCCAGCAGAGGCTTCACTGCCACCGCATAAATCTTAGATCTGGTTTGGATGGCGACGCCAAGGCCCTACGTTCCATCGTTTTCATCACCGCGTTTTTTCCCCCTTTGGCCGCTAACATGTTACTTGTTTCAGTGAACACTACGGCGGATTTCGTGGAGTACCTCGGCTTGGACGACAGTCACAAAGGACGGCTAGCGATCCTGTTCCACATGCTGTCTCGAAACCCTCGCGTGCTGTTCTCGCCCAACACCACCCAGGCGTGGCGGATCGTCGCCAAGGTAACCACCGGCACGTCGTCGCCGTGACAGCGTGACGTGTGTGAGTCCACACGCACAGAGTCGTTACAAAATTGACCTTGATGGGAGACGGGGAAAAGTTGAAGGATGAGATCGAGATCGAGATCGAGCGCACAGAGATCGATGTTGAGCACACCGAGATCGAGGTCGAGCACACAGAGATCGTTTATTTCGCAAACTATGCGGGTAGTTGACAAAGTCCTTGATAGCACTGATCGGCCAGGGAATTCGAAAGCACTTAGGCGGTTTGAAGGCCTAGGAACTTTGCAAACTAACATATTTGGGTGCACGCTGCGACCAGGAGCGCCACCAGGGCACGAAACCAGAGGGGCTCGGCCTGGAGTCGGAGCCTCCAGACTGATGCGCGGGAGAGACGACCGCTAAGTTGCGAAATCCAAGCGTCGACACAATGGACTCACGGCTGCCGCCAGATTAGCGGACTGGACTCGGGCCGATGTGGGACCCCGGGACTCCAGCTAGGGTGGTCACGCTGCGATCGACGCCGGTGTCGGAAGGGCGGCGGTTGATGCCGGGGATTGGCGCGAGCGTTGAACCCGTCGGGCGTGCAAAGTTCAGCCGATGGCAGCCGATGCGCGTACGACCGTCTGTGCTGTGCCTGTGGCCAGACAGAAATGTGCGCCTGCAGATGTGTGATGCGATGTTGACGGATAAGATGTGGGCTCTAGTGACCGTCAGTACCACCTGAATATGGTATGAATTTGAACTGCACAAAATGACACGCTTTTGTGTCACGAGTATATTGCTTAAAATGCTCTGCGGCTATTTTCGCGTGACGTAGCTTGGGTTTTGTTTGGTAGTGTTCTGCTGTGCCCGGTCAGTTTAAGGTTACGACTTCAGAGAACCCTCTGTAGGTGTCTGCGAACGGTGTGATGAGGTTTCACGGGCGTATGGAGCACTGTCGACTCGGCTGCTGTCTTCCAGGTTAGCGTATAGTTGGTGACAAGACATGACCGCCTTGTGACGTCTTAGTGTATGGACAATGGGGCCAGGAAGTCGAGAGACCAATCGCGATGGCATGTTGGCACAAGACACAATTTGCCGCGGCGTTATGGTCTTACTATGGTGGTGTTCGCCGCAGGTGAACGAGACGGTGGAGTACCTGGACGGGCTGACGAAGCTGGCCCGGCAGATCCTGAGCCTGCCCCAACCGCTGCCGGACACGCTGCCGGTGGGTGCTCAGTCCGACCTCATGTTCAGTGCTCAGTCTGGCTGAGTTTCGTGCGACCGCAAACAATACAGGAGCTGCTTCACGGCCGCCCGGGGCGCTGAACACGCGCAAACCCAGTGCGCCACCACCTGGACATACGCATGCCACCCAGGGTGGAGGATGCTGACAACGTCGGTGTGGCCGGGTCACCGGAAGGGACAGACTGGAATACAGAAGTGATAACAGCGTTGTGTTGATTTCAGTGAGAGTCGGCGAGGCTGGAGCCGCGCCTTCCACGCCACGCGGTCCCCTCTTGACATGACCCCCACCGGCGGAGGTGCAATATGCCGCCTGTTTGCCATGCGATAGCGCGTCCGGCCGCGTTTGCCTTTGCTTCAAAACGGCTGGCTTCGACGTAGTATGTTTGCTGTCGCAAAGTTGATTCCTGTAGCATATCCTCGTAATGGGCTTTCACAGGCAGATACTCCGCAGAGGTGTTTCCGCCCATCCTTGCTGGATACCGGTGGAGCGCATATGGCACTGGCTCTCTGTTCCCCGCCATATCCTGCGCTGGCAGCGGATCCGGACCCTCATATCGCGCCAGGTCTGGGGATAGCAGGTGATAATGATCTCCCATCACCGTCAGGTCTCGGGCTGGCAGGCGTCAATGATTCCATACCTCTCCCGTCACCGCCAGATCTCGGGCTGGCAGGTGTCACTGATCCCATACCTCTCCCGTCACCGCTAGATCTCGGGCTGGCAGGTGTCACTGATCCCATACCTTTCCCGTCACCGCCAGATCTCAGGCTGGCAAGTGATACTGATCTCATACCACTCTCTGCTGTCAGGTCTGGGCTGGCAGGTGATACTGATCCCGTACATCTCCCTGCCGGCAGGTCCCGGGCTGGCAGGTGTCACTGATCCCATACCTCTCCTTGCTGTCAGGTCCCAGGCTGGCAGGTGTCACCGATCCCACACCTCTCCCGTCACCGCCAGATCTCGGGCTGGCAAGTGATACTGACCCCATGCCTCTCCCTGCCGCCAGGTCCCAGGCTGGCAGGTGACGCTGGTCTCCTGCGCCTGGCTCGAGCTGATGGCCGGCGCCCAGCTGGACCTGTTCCGGCCGTACCCCACGGAGGCAGCGGCCGTCGACTACTTCCTGGACGGCGCCGCCGCCGACAACGTCTCGGTGCTGGCCGGTAAGTGCCGCCCCGTGAACAACCGCCCGTCTATGTCGTCGCAGGGTTTTCATCTTTCGGTGCTGGAGCAGCCGGCTGTCAGTCACCAGTGGACTATAATCGTAGTGTATCTCACGTGGTAGTTGTAAAAAGTATTGTGTGGCAAAGTCTTGCTCACTGCGGCCGCAGGTTCAATGAGTTGGCTTAGATGGTAGGTCCTCCCGGGATGCACTTGCTGGCTCGCCATCGAAGTGACAGCTTGCTTGTCAGGGAATCGTCTTAGAACGGCCCGTCTGGATCCATGGGCCGGTCGAATCACGCGTTGTTGGCATCGCGACTGATGATAGTAGGCTCCAGCGTGGCTGCGTCTCACATTCCGACGAGTTTGTGTTTGCCAGGAGATAGATAGCGATCGAGAAAGAGAGATAGCGATAGAGACAGCCGCCGCTCTGAGGCGGCAGGCGCGACTGGTCGGGTCGCCGTTACAAACCACGCAGCAGCTGACAACTCTAGCCCCGGTGCACCGAGTGACGCCCCGCCGCCGCTGCCGCCGACAGTGCTGGCGCTGGACCTGCCATCTGACGGCCGCCTGCCGAACCACCTGATCTACAAGATTCGCCAGAACGCGACGTTGGTGGCCAACACGGTGTTGGTGCGCGACCGGGCCTGGCTGCCGGGCCCGCGCAACTGGGACTACAACTACTATGAGTTCGGCTTCTCCTGGCTCCAGGTGCGGCTGACGGAGGTGGCTCCGCAGGACCGACGGAGTTGGCTCCTCGGGGCCGCCGGTCTGGTGGCGGCCCCCCCCCCCCCTCTCCGTGTACCCCGTGTTTGACGGCCGCGTGCCGCCTGAACGTCCGTCTCATGGCGCCTGCGTCAGCGGTGGCCCGCGCGCCGGCGCCGGGCTGCCGTGGCGACCCTCGGGCCAACACGACTCGGCTCAGCTGGGTGGGCGCGACGCTGGCCTGCCCTAGGTCCGCCGTTGCCGCCGCTCTGCGCGAACTGAGCGGCACCTGCGCCGTCCGTCCGGCAGGACCTGGTGGAGCGGGCGGTGGCGGCGCTGCACGCCGGCCGGACGGTGCTGGAGCCGGCCAGTGCCATCCACGAGATGCCCTACCCGTGCTACGTGCAGGACCGGTTCCTCTTCGACCTGGAGACGGTGGTGCCGCTGTGCTTGACTCTCGGCTGGGTGTGCGGCGTGGCGCTGCAGGTGCAGCAGCTGGTGCAGGAGCGTGACGATCGGCTGCGAGAGGTCAGTCGGCCGCCGTCGCCGCCGCCGGCTGCTGGAGAAGGCATGGTCCACCAGCTGCGGATGGGCATTTGATGCACGTGGACGTTGTGTGAGCTAGTTGTTATCTGCTCCCTTTCACCTTGACCTAGTTGTGTATTTGCTTTCTGCGCAACCGGGCCGACATAAGCTAGAGTTTGATCCACCCCGCTTTATGAAACTGCACACATTCTACGCGACGCTTGCTCTGACGGACGATAGTCCGCCGTGCTGGCCTCTGCTGAGCTCCGACCTGACGTTGACCCCGGTCAGGTGATGCTGACCCTGGGCGTCAGCCTGCCGGCCATCCGAGCCTCGTGGGTGCTGACCTCGCTGCTGCTGACCACGCCGTCGGCGGTGGCGGCCGCGCTGGTGCTCTGCTACGGCGGCATCCTCCGCTACAGTTCGGTCTCACTCGTGCTCTGCCTGCTGCTGCTGTTCGTCATCGACAACACCGCGCTGGCGTGAGCAAAGAAACACCGTGGGCGGGCGTCAGTCTCAGCGGCCATGTTTGGGCTCTGTAGGACGTCACTGCAATAATCCAGCGGCGCTAAACACTAGATCCAGTGTTTGGCACCACTAAATTGTTGCCGGTGTTTTGTCTGGTCCCGTTAGATTTTTAAGGCGAATGGGTCATACCAAAGTAATAGATGGGTCGCACCAGGGTAATGGATGGGTTATACTAGGGCAATGGACGGGTCGTACAGCATCAGCCTGATCTGAATCAGACACGTGCTTGGACCAGGGTGTGTAGTGATGAGTGCCACTCGCGTGGGTCTTATTCAGGTAGTGCTACCATTCCCACAGTTCATGTCTGTGATCGCATTACCGCATTTTTCGATCTGTCCTGACTGTGCTTGGGAGTTGAGAATGCGATCTCAGTCCATCGACCTCAGATGACCTGATCCTGGTGACCTCATGTGACCCGAACGTCAGTCGTCGCGCCTCACGGCCGGATGTCACATAACGACCTTGCCGCCGTCGGCAGGCACCTGCTGAGCGCGCTCTCCATGGGCCGGGCGCGCACGGCAGCCTCATCATCGGTGATTCTCTACTTCCTGACGTATGTGCCGTACGTGTACGTGTCGGTGGTGGAGAACACGGCCATGCTGCCAGTCTCATCGCCCGTCAAAGTGCTGACGGTGAGAGCTCGTGGAGGGTGGCGGGTGCCGAGGGGGGTCGCTGTGTCGACACCGGCTGGGCGTAAGCACGGACCTCGACGGTAGCGGGCTGGAGCGTGGCGAGCAGGTGTACGGTGCAGTGCGACGGAGTCCACTGGGCTGTGGAGAGGGGGTACCGCCCTCGGCTTGTGCTGTGGCTCCATGGCAGTGTTCGCTGGAGCGCGTCGAGCAGGTGTACGGTGCAGTGCGACGGAGTCCACTGGGCTGTGGAGAGGGGGTACCGCCCTCGGCTTGTGCTGTGGCTCCATGGCAGTGTTCGCTGGAGCGCGTCGAGCGGGTGTACGGTGCAGTGCGACGGAGTCCACTGGGCCGTGGGGAGGGGGTGCCGCCCTCGGCTCGTGCTGTGCCTTCATGGCAGTGTTCGCTGTTACATGTCTGCGTGGGTGTCGCCGCCTTTGGATGGGGCCTTGCCGCCGCCGCGCCGCAGGAGGTCGTCCTCTTGCTCTCTTGTTTCGGTCCTCCTCGTGTTATTCTGTAAGGTTCGCTGCTGCTCGTTTGTGTCGCTTGTCGTTGGCCGCTCCAGCGCCGTCATTGTGTGCTTCCATTTTCAGTGTCTGATGTCGCCATCTGCGTTCAACCTGGCCTTCAAGTACATCGGGTTCTACGAGCAGCAGGGCACGGGCGTGGACTGGAGTTCGTGGACCGTCTCGCCGGTGGAGAACGACAGCTTCAACATGGCCATCACCATGCTCATCATGCTGCTGGACCCACTGCTGTACGCCGTCCTCGTCTGGTACATCGAGAACGTTTTCCCAGGTGGGAGCTGCAGTCTGGCATGAGGCTTCCTAAGCGTTCTGCCCACAACTCAGCATGCCGTTTCAGCGTGGGCTGGTAGTCAGTTCCTAGGAATTAATCTGATTTCCTGGTCGACAATATGTTGCTGTCCTGGGGGTGGTTTGTGTGTTCCAAGGGGCCCTGCTGGTACCCTGGACTCGTGATATCACGTGCTGCTTCCGACGGCGGCGTGCCTCAGCCCCCGTCGCGCCCGCTTGGCACCACTCGCCGGCGGCCGGCGTGTCCGGTGTCCCGGACCTGACCGGACCTCCGATGCCCGTCACCAGGTGACGTGGGCGTGCCACAGCCCTGGTACTTCCTCCTCTCGCCTGGCTACTGGCGGCCGACACCGACCAAGCCTGGCAGCGGCGAGTGGGACACCGCCGACGCCGACGGTACGTCCTGTGAACGGTCGTGCGCACTTGACGGCCCCCGGGAACACGGCACGTGTGGGGAGCGCGCGGCGGCTCTCTGTCGGGGGCGGCGCTGAGCTGTGTGCCGAGTTGCGTGATCATCTGGTAGACTATTGACTGTTGGTTGCTGGTGTGGTACCACGGGATCGCGGCACGACACGCGCTGTTCTGTGATTGATGATGTCGGTAACGAGGAGATCGGGGCTTTGAGCCTCGCTACCTCCAGCACGTGGTCTTCCCCCCCCCCCCCCCCTTCAAATAGCGTGAGCACCGGCGAGCTGCCGGAACGGATCGAGACGCCGTCACGACCGGCCTGACCTCGTCGTGTGACGCCCGTGACGGCGACGGCGTCGGCGTGACGTCGGCACCACCGGACCCCGCGACGCCGCCCCACTGACCCGCCTCTCTGGCGTCGGCAGGCGGTCTGCTGAACGAGCCGGAGCCGACGAAGCTGCCGCTGGCTGTGGAGCTGTGCGCCCTCACCAAGCGGTTCCCTGGCCAGCGGCGGCCGGCCGTGGACCGGCTCAGTCTGCGCCTGTATGAGGGTCAGGTTACGGCCCTGCTCGGTCACAACGGCGCCGGCAAGACCACCACGCTGTGAGTGAGCCTGGGGGCGGGGGCGGGGGCGGCACCGGGCCGTCGCCGCTGGTGAAGGTCAAGACTGGCGCCTAGTCAGAGGCGCTGGGAATCCTTGAGCTGGGGAGCGCTGACCAAACATGGGGAGAGTTTAGGTTTGGAGTGGGTTCGGTTGATTACTATACGGTTGGTCGACTGATTAGTGAAGGTGGTGGACTGGTGGAAGGTGGTAGTGGTGTGTGGTGAGTGTGGCTAAAGCTGTGATGCTGGCAGGCTGTGGCAGGAATACAACACTCCGGGCTCTGATTATGGAGAATATTCGCGTTAACCATCTGATCCCACTCCATCTCGGTGCGCTCCACTCTGTCCCCTCTGCCCCAGCTCGATCCTGTCGGGCCTGCTGCCCGCCTGCTCCGGCTCCGTCTCCGTGTACGGCTGCGACACGCGTCGCCGGCTGGCGGCCGCGCGCCGCTCGCTCGGCTTCTGCCCGCAGCAGGACGTGCTGTTCGACGGCCTGACGCCGGCCGAGCACGTCTGGTTCTACGGCCGCATGCGCGGCGCCGGCCACCGAGAGGCGCTCCTGCAGGCCTTCAGGTGAGCGGCGGCCGGCCGGTGGGCAGGCCCGGCCCGGCTGTGGGTCCGGGAGCGATGACCGGCGGGGGCAGGCCGGGCCCGGCTGTGGGTCCGGGAGCGGTGACCGGCGGGGCGGGCCGGGCCCGGCTGTTTGTCCGGGGGCGATGACCGGCGGGGGCAGGCCGGGCCCGGCTGTGGGTCCGGGAGCGGTGGCCGGCGGCGGCGGGCCGGGCCCGGCTGTGGGTCCGTGAGGGGTGGCCGGCGGGGGCGGGCCGGGCCCGGCTGTGGGTCCGGGAGCGGTGGCCGGCGGGGGCGGGCCGGGCCCGGCTGTGGGTCCGGGAGCGGTGGCCGGCGGGGGCGTGGCGGTGCCGACTGTGGGTCCGTGAGGGGTGTGCTGCTGCTGGGCCCCGCTGCGAGGTCCTCTGGACTGGCAGCGAGGCAGACCTGATGGGATCACAGCGGCAAGGACACCGCTGGTTGGTGATGTTGTGTTCATGTGTCTTTGACAAAAATGTCTGAAAGTAGACGCCAGTCTGAAATCCCCGGCTGCGCCCATCGGATGACAATGTGAGGGAATCCCCCCTACATCGGCTCTGCTATCTTGGCGTGGCGTCGCGTTCGCTGACAGAGCTGTGAAAAAGGTGGTGACTGCGTTGGCGCCGTTCTCAGCGTCCTGGCCGACGTGAACCTGCTGCCGAAGCGAGACTGCGACGTGCGCCTGCTCTCCGGTGGCCAGCGCCGCAAGCTCTCGGTGGCGATCGCCTTCCTAGGTGGCAGCAGATGCATCGTGCTGGACGAGCCGACGGCCGGCGTCGACCCGCACTCGCGGCGCGCCATCTGGAGTTTGATCGCCAAGTACAAGCCAGGTGAGCCGCGCCCCTCCCGCGCGGTGTGATGCGGGCCGTGTACTCTCCGGATGCGTCTGCGTATCTATCTGCAGATATGGGGCCACCTTTTATACGCGTCCCAGCACGCTTCTGTGTGCTGGCACATCTCGATGGCGATGGCGATGGCGATGGCGATGACGGTGGGCTTGGTCAGGATCGGGATCCCGATCATCTTTTCGCCCCTGGGAGGTTGGCTGAATCTACCATTTCGGTTATGCATGGACTCTGTTAAACGGACTCGACAGACTCCAATCAAATGTCGGATGACATTTAATTCATTCTGCTGTACAGCAGTCATCAACTGATTCAGATGTTTGAACGGTATCAGGAACGTTTCCAATTAGGGACGGCAGGTGAGCAGGCGTTTCATGTCAGTGTCGCGCCGGCCGTCTGGGAGCACGCGTGCGCTTTTGAGCTCTGTTGGCGAGCCGGTGATCGGGAGGAGTCGTGTGCGTCACGGTCCCGCCGTGAAGACGGGTTTCAGGCCGCTGCGAAGGCGCGACCCGACGTGCGACGCCTTTGACACATGCAGCAGCCAGCTGGTCTCCAGTTTGTGAGGTACCTGGCGGGGTCGAACACCTTTGACCTGGCCTGTTTGCTCGTCACCTCTCGCTCGGCTTTGTACTGGCGTGCGTGGGAGCTGTCGGCGCTGGCCCGAGCCAGCCGCGACCTCAGCTGTCGCGCCGCGCGCCGCCTGGTTCCGACAGGCGGGCTGTCGCTCTGTGCGCTTGACCTTCCACTTGGCGTTAGTGCATTGGACGGGCGCTGCTAAATGGCATGACTTTCACCGCCGTCGTTCTGGGACGGAAGCCACGTCCGCGGCGAGGTCGCTGCTGATGGCTGGCCGGTGGGCTGGAGCTGCGGCACGTATGCTGCGAGTTCAGAAGCTACTGAAAATGGCTGTGCTCGCGCACAGAGCTTCGTGTGCACACTGCATATACAGCAAGCTAGCATCCCCGCCCCGTCGGATGCATTCTAAAGCAGCGGGTTAAGGATGATACGAATAACAGCAGCAGTCAGTCCAGTGAGTATCACACTCAGCCGCCTCCAGCCTGCACTGACGTGTAGTAACCCCGTCGGGCCCACATGGGCAGCCCGCTTCCGTCCAAATGGGAAGCGCATGGTGACTGTGGCGATCTGACCGACCAGCCGCCGGTGACCTGTCCTGTCGCGGGCATGGTTCGGGAGGGGGAGGGCTGCACGTGACGGCGGGAACCCGGCCGATCGGAGGCTGTGGTGGGCCGGCGACGGACGGCGGTGTGCACCGTGGTGAATGTCCTACAGACCTTGTCGTACATGACAATGTCGATAGTGCCGTACTCATAGGCTTTCGAGGAAGGCTGGCAATCAAAATTGGGAAGAGACTGCTCTTGATATTTCGCGTGCGTGCCGTGGTAGCACGATGAAGGCTGGATGCCACGCAGCTGTAGCTCGCGGGCTTAGCTGTCGCGGATTGAGGCCATTTTAACACGTCGCACACGAGGCTTGGAGTGGGTATGACGGCGTTTGACGTGCCTTTAGTCGAAACCTGGCATGCGGTCGGCGCTCGTAGAGATGTCGCCCCTTTTTAAATATTACCTGTGTAGTAAGTCTGCTCTACGCCTCATCGACCTCGATATAGCCACGCCGTAGTAGCAATGCTCCCAGGCACCTGTTATTCATGACTTGCGCGGACAAAAACGTTCACGCAAGTTATTTGTTGGCCTTTGTAACTTGATATACGCCCGTGATAAAGCGTCTATGCATCGGCAAAAGACCCCTGGCAGTGCACCTTTGGAGCCAGACGTGTAACTTACGTCGGAGCACGGTCCGTGCCGGCCTCTGAGCAGCAGTGACGGGTGGTGCGGTCGCTGCCCACCGCGCCGTGTGTTGGTCCTCGGCTCGGCCGAGCCGGCCCGCGGGGTCTTGGGTGGGCGCGGTGGTGGGCGCGATCGGACGAGCGCGTGGTTTGGGGCATTGCCGTTCTCGCCCAAGGGTGGGCGCCTGAGGCGTGTGGCGCACGTGTGGGCAACCCGTCGACAGGGTGGTGGAGTGAGGGCGCGTGTTCTCGCTGGCGGCAGGTGTTCTAGCCTTTGCCACACTTTGTATTCGCACGAATCGAGCGTACGGACTTCGGAGGAAGGCTCTAAGTTTCGAGTTTGCGCCAGTTCATCGCGGATTTCATGAAAGTAAAAAATAAATATTAATTATCGGTGTTACTATCAGAAATGAGCCAACAAGCCGTTGGCCACTGCTCAGGCCTGCTCAACAACCGCTGGCCGCAGGTTGCAGGTAAGATAGTCTGCACCAGTCGCCTATCTTAAGCCCACAATGATGCTCGAGCAACCGGCATGACCGCGGTACAGCAGCGGCACGACCGTCCCGCCCCAACCGCGCCACCACGGCTGGAATAGGTGCAGGCGACAGAGGGTGGCGGGAACGAGATGATGACAGCACGGAGTTCGTATTTTAGACAGGCCGAAATGCATTGAAGGGGAATATGTTAGGCATCATTTAGTTGAAAAATGGAGTTTGTATATTAGACAAGCCGAAAGGCATTGAAGGGAATAATGTCAAGAATTATTTTGTTGGAAAATCTTCTGCTAGCCGAGCGTACCAAAAAGCGGTTGTGTCGTCAAATGCTTCTGAACTATCCGGCTGAGGCAACATGATACTAGTTTCATTCTATGCGCGCAACATCACGACTGATGTCTGTGAGCCAACCGCTGTTAAGTGTCATGAACCAAAAGGCGTCAGATGTCAGATGGCGAAGGAATCCTCATTACAACATTCTGTCCAGCATTTTCGACTGCCCCGGCATGTAGCCCGCGTGGCCTAATGGATAAGGCGTCGGTCTCCTAAACCGAAGATTGCGGGTTCGAGTCCCGCCGTGGGTACGTTTTCCACCCCTGTGCTTGTTTTGTGCCCTTCTTTATTTATCACACGGCTTTTTGGGTTTTGCTTGCGGCTTGCGCCATTGAATATATGCTTTAAATTGGAAAGCTGGATTTTGGTATAGGGGATCGCTGTTTTTTTAAATTGCTGACCTTTCAGCGGAGGCAGTTTCTCATTCTTTCAGTCTGATGCGGCAGCAGAGTGAAGACGAAGTCACAGATCTCTGAGATAGGTTATTAAGCAACGCAACAATATGATTTATGATTGCAATAAATTCCAATGACCTGAATTCAGGTATGGAGGTCAAACCGAGACCTAAACAAAGCTGGTTTTTGAATCGACGCCTGCTGTATTGGGTAGTTTCCGGGCTCGCTTCGAATTCGTTAATAAAAGGACCCGCAATAGACATCTTCCATGAATAACTCACAGGCCAGAGTGGGGCACTGACCTAAAATTACCGGGGTCAATATTTTGTCTCCATGAACATACCGCCTAACGTAATCCTTGACGCTCGCATGTTGGATGGGGTTGCATGAGGAGGTCGGGACATTTTGGACACCAGTCCGGAATTTAACATTTTTTTACCTTAGTTGACCCGAAGGTCATGACGTAGGAATATCAAATTTTGGCACAACCGTGTTTAAATACGGGATAATCTGTCTCTCCGAACAGTATCATAACAGTATTAGAATAGTAAGAGTATAGAATAGTATTGGAATCCCCCCAAGTATCGAATTTGGTATTTCTAGCTCTCTTGGTTGGTTAGATCTCAGTGGTTAAAATAACACTGGTGAAACCTCAGAAACATTTACGTCAAATGATAATACTGGGTAGTGCGGCTGCATCAATGACGTCACTTTATATACTTTCGGAGGGGGGAGGGGCGAGGCTGAGCCCTCGTAATGTTGATATATATATATATATATATATATGTATATAATATGATATACGCATATATACATGAATGAGTCATACAACTCACGAGTCATAAGGCAACCAGCCAAAACTGAATCGGATTTCTGATTTGGCAGTTAACGTGAGTCGTGGGTCAAAAATGAACCTGTCGAGAGTTTGGATGGCCGGCCGGGCCGGCCAGTCAGCACACAGTTATTGTCAAAGGGGTCGAGTACACATCAACTGCAGCAAACCGTGTTAGTCTGGAGCGGGCCCGACTGCCCGGTGTGGATACCAGTCTGCTGATGACATGTCCGGGCGCGTTTGTGATCCCTGGCGCATTGTGCTAGCGCTGCGTCGCCTGAGCTGTTCAAGTCTCCCGGCGGTGCCCGTCCCCTCCCTGCCAGGGAAGGGGCAGGCCCTGAGCCGTTCAGATCTCCCGGCGGTGCCCGTCCTCTCCCTGCCAGGGAAGGGGCAGGCCCTGAGCCGTTCAGATCTCCCGGCGGCGCCCGTCCCCTCCCTGCCAGGGAAGGGGCAGGCCCTGGGCCGTTCAGATCTCCCGGCGGTGCCCGTCCTCTCCCTGCCAGGGAAGGGGCAGGCCCTGAGCCGTTCAGATCTCCCGGCGGTGCCCGTCCCCTCCCTGCCAGGGAAGGGGCAGGCCCTGAGCCGTTCAGATCTCCCGGCGGTGCCCGTCTCCTCCCTGCCAGGGAAGGGGCAGGCCCTGGGCCGATCAGATCTCCCGGCGGTGCCCGTCCTCTCCCTGCCAGGGAAGGGGCAGGCCCTGAGCCGTTCAGATCTCCCGGCGGTGCCCGTCCCCTCCCTGCCAGGGAAGGGGCAGGCCCTGAGCCGTTCAGATCTCCCGGCGGCGCCCGTCCCCTCCCTGCCAGGGAAGGGGCAGGCCCTGAGCCGTTCAGATCTGCCGGCGGTGCCCGTCCCCTCCCTGCCAGGGAAGGGGCAGGCCCTGAGCCGTTCAGATCTGCCGGCGGTGCCCGTCCCCTCCCTGCCAGGGAAGGGGCAGGCCCTGGGCCGTTCAGATCTCCCGGCGGTGCCCGTCCCCTCCCTGCCAGGGAAGGGGCAGGCCCTGGGCCGATCAGATCTCCCGGCGGTGCCCGTCTCCTCCCTGCCAGGGAGAGAGAGAGAGAGAGAGAGAGAGAGAGAGAGAGAGAGAGAGAGAGAGAGAGAGAGAGAGATAGAGAGAGAGAGAGAGAAGAGAGAGAGAGAGAGAGAGAAGAGGAGAGAGAGAGAGAGAGAGAGAGAGAGAGAGGAGAAGAGAGAGAGAGAGAGAGAGAATATAGAGAGCAGAGAGATATAGAAGAGAGAGAGAGAGAGATGAGAAGCGAAGAGCGAGACGGATAGAGATAGAGAAGATAGAAGAGCTAGAATGCGAAGGAGCGGTAAGAGATGGAGCTATATGTATCTAGATCTTCTATCTAGATATAGCGAGAGAGGAGTCGATAGATGAGCAGATAGCAGATAGAGATAGATAGATGCTTGAGTAGAGAGGAGCGAGAGAGTTGAGAGAGAGAGAGAGAGAGAGAGAGGCAGGCGACGCTATGTAGCTTCACGTGCTGAGGACGTCGTAAATCCCCTATGCACCACGACCGCTGAGCCGTCCAACTCCAGACCGGTGCCCGCCGACCCCCTCCCCCAGGTCGGACGATCTTGTTCTGCACGCACCACATGGAGGAGGCGGACGTGCTGGGGAATCGGATTGCCATCCTGTCGGCGGGCAAGGTGAGCAGCGGCCAGCTGACGGCCGCTGGGTGACGTCACACCCCGCCTGCTCGCGCCGCCGGCGTCTCTCGGCGGTGTGGCGAGCCGTGCTCTCACGCTTCACGCCCACACGCGTGAACGTGCCGGCCGCGTGACGAAACACGGTCGGCCGCACCGCTGCTCTCTGGTGGCTCCGAGACGACCCCTGGTCAGACATCGCTGGACCTGGTCCAGGACAGATGTCATTAGCGGAGGTCAGCAGAGCAAACCGTTCCCGTTTGCGACATTGTATCATGACGCTTAAGCAGTGTGCTCTGATGACATAGGCACCGACTGACAGCCACGGAACGCTGCAACCTGAGCAACAGTATGAACCGCGGCTGTCCTTCCTTTTCCTACCTGCGAAGCATGGCACCAGGCGCCTCGCGAGATACATATGCCAATGGTAAATGCAATCATGATCATTGTATCTTTTATCAGTTAAGTATTGTTGATCCTAATCTTGATTATTGAATTATTGGTGCAATCTTGATTTATGTGCTTGATTAATACTGATCAAGAGCGACGCTGGGATGCATCGAGGCGGCTACCCATGTGGCTCTGGTCTAAACAATCACGTCAATAGGCAGCGACGTCCTCCATGGTAACACGGCTGGGCGTGGTGCCCGTCGCCCGTCGCCGCAGGTCAAGTGTGTCGGCTCTCCGATGTTCCTGCGTCGCCAGCTGGGCGCCGGGTACCACTTGCACGTGGTGCGGACGGCGGCGGACCCGTCTGAGGACGGTCAGGCCAGGTGAGGGCCGCGGCGCGGCGCCGCCGCTCGGCTGCCCGGCTGGTGCGGGCAGGGCTGCGGCTGACGGACGCGTGAGGTCACCTGACCTGACCTGAGGTCACCGGGTCACCTGCCGTCGGAGGCTGTAGTGCAGGCGCAGGTCGGCTGATGACCGGATCTGTCATTTCGTTCGCGTCTGCCCCCCTCCGCAGCCAGCTGTCATGGTGGCGTGTGTGTACCCTCAGGCTTCACAGCACCGAGGAGGGCTCATGGCCCAAACGGCTGCTGATCCTTTGCTTCCGTGAAAATTACGCAACACTTTATACATTATACAGGCCACAGTCATCAGGCCGAGAGTCGTGTGTTTAATCTGCATGTCATCTGTGGACCTGCGCCGGGCAGGCCGCGGCCGGTCACTGACACTCCCGCTCTCCCCCGACAGCGGCGGCGGTCTGGGCGGCGTGACCAGCCTCCTGCAAGCGCACGTGCCGTCGGCGCAGCTGCTCGGCTCTTCGGCGCACGAGCTACACTTCTTCCTCCCGGTGGCCGAGCTGACGGCCGGCGTGCTGCCGCGCCTGCTGGAGGCGCTGCAGCAGCGCAGGGAGGAGCTGGCCGTCGCCAGCTTTGGCCTGCAGACCACCTCCATGGAGGAGGTGTTTATGCGCGTCACCAGAAACGGCCAGGGTGAGTGGGGCAGGCTGAAGACGAGGCACCAGGGCTTGGGGGAGTCGAGGGGGATGGGCGAATGGTGTTTAGAATGTCGTGTGTGTGCATGTCCTTTGACACTGGTTGCTCGCGTCGTAAATCAAAGTGAACTTTAATCACGTTTTGAAGGAAATATTGAGAAAGTTCTTCGGACTGAATGGAGATGACGTCATATTGTTTTTCGTCGAACAGTGTTGCTGAGATCAAAGCATGAGGAAGAGGAAGCCTGGACGCAGGACGCACGCACGCGCACCCGCACACCTGTGCCTCCCCTCTGCCTCAGACGATTGCCCCGTCCCGACCCCGACCTCGGACACGCACTCCGAGCTGGCCGACGTCGTCGCCGCCCCGTCTGACGTCACCGCCGCCCCGTCTGACGTCACCGCCGCCCCGTCTGACGTCACCACCGCCCCTTCTGACGTCACCGGCGCCCCGTCTGACGTCGCGACGGCCTGGAGTGACGTTACGCCCGAGTCGTGGGAGCGGCTGCGTGGCCGGCGGCTGCTGTGGCAGCAGTTCCTGGCCGTGTTGTCTGAAGCGGTTTTACTGCTCGCGTCGCAGCTGGACCCTGCTGATCAGCCAGGTCAGGATGGCCGGGATCGGCCGGGTCAGGGTGACCGGGATCGGCCAGGTCAGGGTGGCTGGCGTTGGCCAGGTCAGGGTGGCTGGGATCGGCCAGGTCAGGGTGGCTGGCGTTGGCCAGGTCAGGATGGCCGGGATCGGCCAGGTCAGGTTGGCTGGGATCGGCCAGGCCAGGGTGGCCGGGATCGGCCAGGTCAGGTTGGCTGGGATCGGCCAGGTCGGGAGAGGTCAGGTCGGCCAGGACGAGGGTGATAAAAGCTGTGTACATTTTGTTAGAGAAGAAAGGGCTGGGGTCTTCCAAGAACAAACGCACGGGTGGAACTCAGCACCGCCTCCACGCGGCAGAGCGTTGGTGGTGTCTGGTCCAGTTGAATCATTTCTGACACCGCCTGGTGCCGGTTAACGCCGACCCTGTACATGGTATCTCGGATGATCACGTTCTCGTGGGATCGCGCTCAGATGATCACACTACACCTGACCACATCACTATCGTAAAATCATCTGATGCGGAAGCCGATCGCCGGTCATGAATGTGACGGCCCCGTCGCGGCTCGGTGACCCCCCCCCCCCCCCTCACCAGGTGCTGCTGCCGGCCATCTTCACGTTCCTGGCTATGTCGCTGGCGGTGGTGACACCCAACGTCTCGGACAAGCCGCCGCTGGTGATGGCGCCCACGCAGTACTTCAACTACACCTCGCCGCAAGAGAACGTCGTGCCGGTAGCCAACAACTGGCTGGACGTCCTGAACCCAGGGTCAGTAGCGCGGGCGGCAGGGTGCTGTGGGAAGCTAGGTCAGTTTGTTGGGAAGTATGGGGCTCGATGTAGGTGGTCGGCTTGGTGAGTTTGAGAGAGGTTTGCGAGTTACGGGAACGTGATTCCCCCACCCCCATCCCACCCCTTACCTTACCCCCACGTACGTGCACAGAGATAAGAGAGGACGATTTGCGCGAAATGCAGCACACCACGGTGAAGCATGGACTTGTCAGCATGTGGAGCAGTTAGCATATGATACGGTCGTCCAGTCTTTTGGCGCGCTTCGCATCTGCTTTTCAGAATTTTCAGCGGTCACGTGTCCGTGTTTGCGCTCATTGCTGCCTGCTGGGAGGCACGTTCGCTCGCACTGTCCTGTGCGCTTGCCCTTAGAGCTGCCCGAGTGTAGCGGAGCTGGGGGCGAGTGCGTGACGGAACTGCCCGGTGGTGGTGTGCACCGGAGCGGTGCTGTGAACGCCGGGTGCGGTCGAGATGTGGCAGTCCGGACTCGTGGGGCATCCGCCTCTCCCGTCCTGGTCCGGAGCGCGCATGCCATGACTATCGCGCGCGAGACCAGACCCGGCGAAGGGGTGCCAGGCGGGCTGGCGGCGCAGCGGTCTGGTCACTCGGCAGTAGGACCGTGGGCCCAGGTGTGTGACGCGCCTGTCCGTTGGCATGGCCAGGTTCAGCCGGGATGCGCCGTCACCGGCGGTGGAGGCCACCCTGGAGCTGGCCTCCGGCCTGGGCGCCACCTGCGTGCGGCGGGACCCACACAACGCCAGCGCCGGCTTCGACCCGCTCTGCGACACCGTCAGACACCGGGGTCAGTCGGGCTGAGGGGAGGTCAGACACCGGGGTCAGTCGGGCGGAGGGGAGATCAGGGTCAGGGGGCGGAGGGGAGATGAGGCACCGGGGTCAGTTGGGCTGAGGGGAGGTCAGGTACCGGGGTCAGCGGGCGGAGGGGAGATCAGGCACCGGGGTCAGGGGGCGAAGGGGAGGTCAGGCGCCGGGGTCAGTTGGGCTCAGGGGAGGTCAGGCACCGGGGTCAGTCGGGCGGAGGGGAGATCAGGCACCGGGGTCAGGGGGCGGAGGGAAGGTCAGACACCGCGGTCAGTTGGGCTGAGGGGAGGTCAGGCACCGGGGTCAGGGGGCGGAGGGGAGGTCAGGCACCGGGGTCAGTTGGGCTGAGGGGAGTTCAGGCACCGGGGTCAGCGGGCGGAGGGGAGGGGGTCAGACACCGGGGTCAGTCGAGCGGGGGGAGGGAAGGTATCAGGCACCGGGGTCAGGAGGCGAAGGGGGGGTCAGGCACCGGTGTCAGCGGGCAGAGGGGAAGGGGTCAGACACCGGGGTCAGTCGAGTGGGGGGAGAGAAGGTGTCAGACACCGGGGTCAGTCGGGCGCACGGAAGATCAAGCACCGGAGTCAGTCGGGTGGAGGGAGAAGAGGGGATCAGGTACCGGGGTCAATCGGACGCAGGGAAGGTCAGGCACCGGGGTTAGTCGGGCGGAGGGGAGGGGAGGGGTCAGACACCGGGGTCAGTCGGGCGGAGCGGAGGGAGGTATGTCAGACACCGGAGTCAGCTAGGGTTGTGGAAAGGTCAGATGTCTGGGGCCGCTGGGAGCTAAGTTATCTGTTGTGCGGGAGGGCCCATGTATGCCGCAGGGGTGTCGGAGATCTTGCGGTGCGGACCGGCCCCACTGTGCGGCCGGCAGCGCCTGTGCCCCCAGACTTGACTCCGACACTGGCATGTGCTGGTCTTCCTGTAGTTCGGGGACGAGCGTTTGTTGTCACATGATTATCATCCCGTCAACTGTGAACGGTTACGTATCGAGCTACCGGACTCTCCCGGTGGGCGCGCTCTGCTGTGTTCCACGCTTCCGGTCGGTATGGTGTACGCCCGGTGATAGTATTTCAAGCGTCTTCTCCAGTCTCGCGGGTGGAGGCTGTGGCCCCTGAGGCTGCGCCGCTCCGGCTGATGGCGGGCGCCGGCCGGCTGACCACGCTACCGCCGGACCCGCACAGGCGAGTTGGCCCGTCTGTCGACTAACGTGTCCGCGTTCTCACGGATACGGCGCCACGCCGTGTGTGGGCCGCTCGCGCTTATTGTGCACTGTGACGCCGACGGCATGCCTGTTTAACGGCTGCAACAGTGTCGAACGCTGGCAATAACCGTCACATGTTAACCGGCGGCTGTTTACCTCCGCGTGACTGCTCTGTTCAGCGTTAATTCCGTGTACGATGTTTCCTCCCTCTTGTCTTCACCGTATATCCCAAGATCGCTCGATATTTCGCTTTGTTTCTGTGCGTTGATGGCGAACACTATCAGGAATATTTCTGTCGGTTGCCTGCTATTTAGACAGGTTAGCGCGTCGCGAGCCAGCGCCCCGTGTCGCGTCTGGTCCTGGACTGGTTGCTCGCGCGCCTTCCACTCCATGGCTGACGAGCACAATTGAAAAGGCTGGCACTGCTGAAGCAGCGGGACGTGCCCACAACCCCGAGGGTCGCCGTAAACAAGTCCAAACTCACCCCGACTGAACCAAAGCACGCGTCGACCCTCGACGCCCGTCACGGCCGGTGTCCAGTGCCGGCCGCTCTGACCAGCGCCGGGTGCCGCTCCGCCTGCCAGGCTGTTCCCAGCGTGCTCGTGCCGGCCGGACGGGGCGGGCCAGGCGTGCGCGCCGGGCGGTTATCGTCTGCCGCTCTCCCGGTCCGTGGTCACTGGCGACCTGCTGCAGAACGTCAGCGGTCAGCCGGAGAGCGAGTTCTACCGCGCCACCACCGACATCTACAGGTGGGTCGGACCGCCGCCCCCGGCGGGGCACCGGGCACTGGGAGTCACCCGGCTTGTGGCGGGCCGGATGGACTGTCGGGAGCCGTCAAGCAGACCGACGAACTGTGCAGTCGTGAACTGCTGGTACCGGGCAGGGGTGGACTGCTGCAAGGGTGGACTTCTGGCACCGGGCCGGGGTGGACTGCTGCAAGGGTGGACTTCTGGCACCGGGCGGGGGTGGACTGCTGCAAGGGTTGACTGCTGCAGGGGTGGACTGCTGGCACCGGGCAGGGGTGGACTGCTGCGAGGGTGGACTGCTGGCACCGGGCGGGGGTGGACTGCTGCAATGGTTGACTGCTGCAAGGGTGGACTTCTGGCACCGGGCAGGGGTGGACTGCTGCAAGAGTGGACTGCTGGCACCGGGCGGGGGTGGACTGCTGCAAGGGTTGACTGCTGCAGGGGTGGACTGCTGGCACCGGGCGGGGGTGGGCTGCTGCTGGCACCGGGCAGGGGTGGACTGCTGCAAGGGTGGACTGCTGGCGCCGGGCGGGGGTGGACTGCTGCAAGGGTTGACTGCTGCAGGGTTGGACTGCTGACACCGGGCAGGGGTGGACTTCTGGCACCGGACGGGGATGGACTGCTGCAGGGGTGGACTTCTGGCGCCGGGCGGGGGTGGACTGCTCGCACCGAGCAGGGGCTCCAAAGCTGGCAGCAGTTGGGACCGGCCGTGCAGGCGCGGCTGCCTGACCGCTGATGGCTGGGTGTTGAACGAGACAGGGGAGCCGGTAGCTCGCACTGGGTCACTGAGCTCTGCAGGGGAGGCCACGGGCCTGGTTGAGCGGGAACTCAGGCTGCGGTGGTTGGCGTTACGGTGTGTCGTGTCGTGCGCAGCGGCGTCAGACCGCGGATAGGCAAGCGCGCTGCCGGGCCCCATCTGTCCTTGCGGAGCTACGTGTCGGCAGCGGAGTCGGGTGCGTCTGGCCGTGTGCCAAAGAGAACATCGTGCGTGCTCACTCTCAGTACGCACTAGGTGTGCTGCCCCCAGTCGAAAGCCCCCCCGTGAGGCACTACCTTTCCGTGGTGGGGGGGGGGGGGGGGATTTCGTGTCCCAATGATCCTGCGGGCGGTTGGGGAGGCTTGTAAAGCGCCCCTTCCGGCCAAAGAGGAGGGGCCAGACGAAACGCGCCTCCCGCAAGGGCTCTGACTCGTTCAGAGTAGGGATTAGCAACCCCTCGGCCCCAGCTTCTCAGTCTTATCTGGGTCTCGCCGTACCCCGTTGGGTCCGCAGGTAGTGATGAAGGGATCCTGGTCACTGAGGGAGTTTCCCTATGGGTCAGTCGGGGCAGCTTACCAACACGTGGCTTTGGCCCGAATTTGTGATCCTGCGGATGCCTCGTGAAGTCTCCACACGAGGAAATCGGCTGGTCAGGCGTCGTGTTTTCGTGACACTGGCTTGGAGGCAAGCAGGTCATGTGACGGGTGTTGAGGGGGGAGCTGCCGGGTGCAGTGTCTGCCCCTTGACATCATTAAGGGGCCGTACCTCGGTTTGTCACCAGGGTGCCTGGTTAGCACCTGCGAACCTGAGGCACTGGCGCCCGCAGACACGTGCCCGGTGGATCTCGCAGCAACTCTTTTGGCACACTGGCCTGCGTATAGCGTGCTGTTAGCCCTGGCGGCTCCTCTCTTAGAAGTGGACCGTCCCCGTGTTGGGCTCCGTGGTGGGCGGGGAATCAGGGCGCCGAATATAAACACATACTTATGGATACTTTATCATCAACCAACCCCCCAAACCTCGACCGTCGTCCACTACCCCAGTTTCTGGTCGTAAGATCCGCCAGAGAAGATGACCAATGAAGGACAGTACCGCTCCGACTAAACCCACTTCAACGCCAACAAGCATTTTCCAAGATCGGGACGCCCAAGGATGTCTTTTCGTATGCGGACGGAGGCATAGAAGTGCATCTGACAGACGACCGCGAAATCCAGCGCATGCTTAAAACGACCACACTTATGTACAAAGTGCGAGGACAGGGAGAGGTTAGGGTGCCCGTATCGGTGCACCCTCACCCCTCTAAGAACTACTCTAAGGGTGTGATTACTTGCCGGGACCTTCGCGGCGTGAGTGATGGGGATGTTGCTGAGGGCTTGTGTGAGGAAGGGGTGACGGCAGTGAGACGTATCAAGAGGAGAGAGAGAGGAGAGCTGACCGATACTGACTCAATTATTCTGACGTCTTGCTCTGCGAGAGTTCCAGATAGGGTCCGCGTGGGATATCAGTCGGTTCCTGTTAGGGTCTATGTACCCGACCCAGTCCGATGCTACCGATGCCAGACGTATGGTCACTTCACGGACAAGTGCTGGAAAGAAGTTGGATGCGGAAGGTGTGCGGAAATAGGTCACCAACACTGAGTGTAAATCAGAAACCGTGAAATGCGTCAACTGTGGTCAGGGTCACGTGGCGTCATATCGCAGCTGTCAGTCCTTCTTGTCAGCGAAAACTGTCCTGAACATCAAAGTGAAGGAAGGAGTCTCGTTTCGGGAGGCCCAACGCCGACACAACGATGCGACCACCACAAGGACATACAAAGACGCCCTTACCAATCCGGCAAGAAATTTAGTCCAGGTAACACCCGCAGCCAACGAGGTACTGAAACTGAGTGGACTTGATGATTTCAAAGGCATGACTGTAGGCGAGTTTGTACAGCTGATACTAAGCACACTTGTATCAACTGGCTCTGCTGTTCCGTCGTACCGGAGGTCGGAACCTCCGAAAAAAATCCACCTGCGGCATTGGCCGCCGCTAGAGAAGCTCAGCCTATGGGGCTGGAACCCCCTGGCGGAGCTACCAGAGAGCCCGGGGCTGGGTCGCGACCCGGGAACGAGGGATGGACCACGGTCCAGCGAGGTCGTGGACTTCGCCCCCCATCATCGCACCCCGGCCCAGCCAGTGCTTACGACACGCCCTCTCGGGCTCCATCTCCCCCTCCATCCATACCAGCTACGACGGGATTTGTCGTCGCTGGCACAGGGGCGCTACGAGAGTTGGGCCCCTCTGGCTCCCCAGCTAGTGGCCCTGCCGGAAGCGCCGGTCCCCCCGGCTCACGAGAACCGGACAAGGTTCGGCATCCTCCAGTCGTCGCTCCCTCCCGGAACCGCCCCTCTGAAACTGTTGTTCGTCCGGGTTCTCTGGACCTTGGCCCTGCAGGGCGCGCCGCCAGGTCGGCGTCTGCACAGCGGACGGGGGGCCGGCTCTCGCTGTCGACTCCGCCCCACTCACCGGGAGGGTCAATGGGTCCGCCTCCCATCCCTCCACCTGGGGACGGGGTTTCGGGTCGGCCTACCCTGCCGTCCCCGGTGGCGGGTCGTGCAACGAAGCGTGCCCCTCCTTGGCCGACGTCGCCTACGGAGGGTGGAAGTCCCAAAGCCCGGCCAAGGGTCCGGCTTACCTCCACTGAAGTAGAGCGTCGCCAGGGAGATTTGTTTAGTGCAAAGCCCTAGGTGAACGCTTAAAGCAGATGTAAGCTGTACCGATGGATCTTAACCGTACACCCCACATACAAGCATACCTAGCATGCCAGTGACGTTTTTACATGGAACATGCGTGGCTTGAGGGCCAACATGTCGGACCTACACACACTCTTATCTTCTCGTAACCCGGTTGTGGCATGCTTACAAGAAACAAAGGTATCTGATGACGCCCAAATTAACGTCAAATGTTACAGCATCTTTCGGAAAGACGTGAGAACTGACACGATCGCCCATGGTGGGGTGGCGGTTTTAGTTCATCACAGTATACCGTGCTCTCCTGTAAGTCTTAACACTGACCTTCAAGCTGTTGCTGTCGTCGTCGACCTTGGGTCGCTGAGGCTGACTGTCTGTTCTATCTACCTCCCTCCTGCTGAGGAAGTACCGGATTCGACACTACAGTCCATCTTCGATCAGCTTCCATCGCCGTTCTTGTTGCTAGGTGACTTCAACTCCCATGGCCCTTTGTGGGGCTGCAGTCACACAAGCCGCCGAGGCCGACATCTTGAGCGTTTGCTGAATACAAATAATCTTTGTGTTGTTAACACCGGCCGGCATACCCATATATCTCTGCCGTCCAGCACTACTTCAGCGATAGATCTTTCTATCTGCTCCTCGTCCCTTTTCTGTCGGTTGTCTTGGTTCGTTGAGAGCACTACATATGGGAGCGACCATTTACCAATATGGCTTGGGATGAATGCTGGACACCCAGGCAGGAGGCCTTCCTACTGGGACCTTCGGCGTGCTAACTGGCAAAAGTTTACTGATGAGTGCCATATTAGAGTGCAGCCGACCGAGGACGACAATACAATGTCTCTTGCACAACAAGTGACATCCACAATTGTCGACACTGCTAGGTCTTGCATTCCCTTGACATCACCTGAGCCGCGCAGGATCCCTGTTCCCTGGTGGTCAGAGGACTGCAAGGCGGCAATTCTCAAGCGGAAGCGGGCGTTCAGGGTTTTTAAGCGTTCTGCAACGACCAACAACCTCATCGCTTTTAAAAAGGCCAGAGCATTTGCGAAACGCACAATACGTGAGGCGAAGCGTACATCATGGAGGGAATATATAAATGGTTTAAATCGTCACACCCCACTGAGTGCAGTGTGGCAGCGAGTTAGTCGCATTTCCGGTAGGAGCGTCTCCACTGCAGTTCCGGTGTTGAAAATTGCGGGAATCACGATATTGAACACACAGGAAGTTTCCAACAAAATAGGTCTCGCATTTGCAGAAAGGTGCCGACATGGAACAGACGACCCACGCTTTATTCGTTACAAGGAACGAAGTGAGAAGACGGCAATCAATTTTAGAATTCCTGACTCAGAGATTTATGAGTACAACCAACCGTTCACTGTCATGAAGCTCTGCACTGCTCTTAAGAGAGCTAAGAGTGTGTCGCCTGGATTGGATAAAGTCCACAATGATATGTTGAATCGCCTAAAGAAGGAGTCCCTCCATGCCTTACTCTCACTTTTCAACTACATATGGTTGCAAGATGACTTCCCGGAGTCGTGGCGGGAGGCCATTATAGTCCCGATACGGAAGCCCGGAAAGGATGGTTCCGATCCACTGCACTACCGCCCAATTTCGCTGACTTCATCCCTATGCAAATTGCTAGAGAGGATGGTGAATGATCGTCTCATGTGGTACCTTGAAGCCCACGATTGTCTTTCCAAAGTGCAATGCGGGTTTCGGAAGAACCGATGCACTGTTGACCACCTAACGATCTTAGACACAGCTATACGACATTCTTTTAAACAAAGACGTCACACGATAGCAGCCTTCTTTGACACTGAGCGGGCTTATGATACCACCTGGCGCTATGGCATTCTAAGCAAAGTACACAAGTGTGGACTCCGAGGTCACATGGCACTCTTCATTGAAAACTTTTTACGTCGTCGATTCTTCCGTGTCCGAGTGGGTGGCATGCTATCTGATCGCTATGAACAAGAGAACGGTGTTCCTCAAGGGAGCGTGCTTAGCGTAACCCTATTTGCGCTGATGATCGATGATATCGCCGACTGTCTGCCGCCTACCATCAGTCGGTCACTGTTTGTGGACGACTTTGCCATCTGGTGTGCGGCATCCACAACGACGTCTGCTGAGAGGCAGCTTCAGTTATGCCTGATTCGACCATCTGAGTGGAGCCTTAAGAATGGCTTCAAATTTTCGACCACCAAGACTAAGTGCACGCACTTCTGCTCACGGATTAGAGGCTGTAGAGACCCGGAGTTGCGACTGTATAATGCCACTATCCCAGTTTGTAACGACATTTGTTTCCTGGGCCTCACGTTTGACCGTCGGCTCACGTTTAAGCAACACTTTAAGATGGTTAAGACTAAGTGTCTCAAGCGCGTGAACCTCATGAAAGTAATGTGTCGTATGACGTTTGGAGCCGATAGAAGCACCCTGTTGAACCTTTATAGGGCTCTAATTCGATCAGTCATCGATTATGCTAGTCCTGTCTACGATAGTGCTCCTACATCTTCAAAGCAGGTTTTGGACACAATCCACCATACATGTGTTGGTATAGCCACTGGGGCGTTTCGTACGACCCGAACAAGAAACTTGCTGGTGGAAGCGAATGAACCGCCCTTGCCTCTTAGGAGACAACGATTTACTTTAAATTACGCTACAAAGGTTTCACAATTTCCGGATCACCCAGCCTTTAAGTTCATTTTCTCTCAGACGTTGATTCGTTCTTTCTTGGGGGGGCGGCCCACGTCAGCGCGGCCGATGTGCCTGCGCGTCCGGGACTGCCTGGACGAGGCGGATATTACGCTGGATGACATTGCCCCGCACACTCTTCGGGACCCAGCTCCGTGGAGACGTCTGAGTATTAAGTATGATTTGAAACTCTGTCAGCATCTTAAAAATGGCACTGCACCATGAGAGTTCCTCACGTACTCGTTGGAACAGATCTCACAATACGTGAACTCATTACAAATATTTACCGATGGGTCCAAGGGCTCAACAGGAACGGGTTGCGCATTTGTTTGCGGTGACCATACCGTAGGTCTATGCCTCCCGCAGCACATGTCAGTTTTTTCCTCAGAACTGTTTGCCATTTTAGCAGCGCTTCAGTACGTTGCTTGTCGTCCTGAAAGGGATATAGTGATTTTGACCGACTCGCGTAGTGCACTTTTATCATTAGACCCGACGGCGATGTCGCGTGACCACTCATTTTTAACTCGCTCAATTTGGGAGGAATTGGAATGGCTGGACAGCACTTCCTGTCGTATCACATTTATGTGGATCCCCAGTCACATAGGAATAATGGGGAATGAAAAAGCCGACGCCGCAGCGAAAGCTGCGGCGTGTGAGAGAAACCCAATACCAATGTATGTACCCGCTCGAGATCTGAAGTCAGTCATTTCCAAATACGTCCGCAATGCGTGGCAGCACATGTTCGACCAACACCTCCACGCTTTCAGGGAAATCAAGCCCCAACTGGGTGATTGGGAATCCTCCCATCGCCGAAGCCGCTTCCAGGAAGTCGCCCTTTGTCGGCTTCGGTTGGGTCATACATACGCCACACACTCGTTTTACTTGACGCGTAGGGATGTGCCACGTTGTAATAGATGCGGGGACCGGTTGTCTGTTGAACATGTGCTCGTCTCATGTCGGCGCCTTGAGACGGAGAGGCGACGATTTTTTCCTCCAGCGCCCCTTCATCGGTTACTCGGTCGAGACCCATGTGGTGAACTTGGAGATATACTCGCATTTTTAGCACACATTGGCTTTGACGTTATTTTCACTCACCCCTCAGTGTAAGTGCGCCAGTGAGGCTACCTGTTATCAGTTGACAACATAATTATCGCGTCGTCGCAGAGGTAGATAACCGTCATCGAGTGGGCGCAAAATGGCCCTGATGCCGACGCGCCCTTAAAACCCAAATCACCACCACACCACCACCCCCAGTCGAAAGAATGCGACGGTTTGGTGCTGGGTCGGCGTGTCTTTGCTGACCTGTCCCCGGACGAGTGGCAGCGTGGTACGGCTGTGAGGCGGTCCCTCACTGCTGCCCTCCTGGCTGCGGCCGGGCAAACGGCACCGACGCCGCGTCAGCTCTGCCCTTCTCCCCTGACCGGCGTGGACCCCGCCGCCGCCCTCCCGTCTGACCTCTGACCCGCGGCGGGCAGGCTGCGCCGGTACGGCGGCCTCAGCCTGGGCCTGGTGCACGCGGCCACGCCGCCCGAGTTTGGCCGGCATCTGTCGCCGGCCGCCCGCCGCACCGCCGTTCGTCGCCGGGCCAAGGCCTGGTTCAACCACAAGGGCCTGCACGCCGTGCCCGCCTACGTCAACGCGCTCAACAACGCCGTGCTGCGGGCTAACCTGCCGCCGGCCGCCGGGGACCCGGCCGCCTACGGTCAGTGCCGGGCCGCGCGGCCGTTGTGTTGTCTCGGGGTTTTCCTGCGTCGTGCTTTTCAGTTGTGGGTTTTTTGCAGTTTCGTTGTGCGAAGGTGACGACTCAGGTGTGCGCTGGTGCCAATAGCCTAAATGTGATGGGTAACCCCATGTCCTGGTAGTGACGCCTGTGACCTTCTGTTCGTCGGCTGTCACTCAGCGAGAGGCCCACTCGGTACTAATTTTGCGCCCAGACTTTTACAGCTCGTAATGTCACCATATCCCACGTCCCTCGATGCGCTTTGCGCTGGCACAAGCACGACTGCCAACTTTCTCGAGTTCATGCACAGTGATAATGTGCATGAACTCGAACATGCACATGTGTTCTGTTTCATCTCGTGCGTGACAGTTTGTGCCCTGTGTCCTTTTCGACCCCCACGTTCGCCTTCCCACTGCGTGCCTCGCCCGTCTGTTCCCTGTCCCGCAGCCCCCACCTATTGTCATTGTAACGCCCCACCTCTGAGACCCGTTCTTCATCTTTCTAGACGAAATCTGAGACTCCAGGAGTGATGTGCGCAACAAGTGACGCCTCGTTCCCTTGGCGTAGCGCGCGATGCCCTAACCGTCCTCCATCCGTGCTGTGTCCCCCTGTCGCTTGTGTAACGTGCCTCCGCTGTCGCTCCAGACGTGACGTGTGTAACGTCCCTCTGCTGTCTCTCCAGACGCGCCGTGTGTAACGTCCCTCTGCTGTCCCTCCAGACGCGCCGTGTGTAATGTCCGTTCGCTGTCGCTCCAGACGCGCCGTGTGTAACGTCCCCCTGCTGTCGCTCCAGGGGTGACGTGTGTAATGTCCCTCTGCTGTCGTTCCAGACGCGCCGTGTGTAATGTCCCTCCGTTGTCGCTCCAGACGCGCCGTGTGTAATGTCCCTTTGCCGTCTCTCCAGACGCGCCGTGTGTAACGTTCGTTCGCTGTCGCTTCCGACGCGTCGTGTGTAATGTCCCTCTGCTGTCGCTCCAGGGGTGACGTGTGTGAACCACCCGCTGCCCCGGACCGGCGCATTCACACTGGAGGAGGAGATCCGCCAGGGCACCGACATTCTGATCGCGCTGTTCGTGCTGGTGGCGCTGAGCTTCGTGCCGGCCTCGCTGGTGCTGGCGCTGGTCACAGAGCAGCGCCAGCGCAGCAAACACTTGCAAGCGGCTGTGCGGCCTCGATCGGACCGTTTACTGGCTGGCCAACTACTGCTGGGATCTGGTGAGTCGCCAGTCGCCAGCAAATGCCGCTAAGGCGTAGCGAGCCACTGTGTGCTGCGGAGTGTCCTGCGGACGTGAGTCACGAGGTCCTGCTGACTGCTATTGGGACCTGGTGAGTCATTAGGCTCTGCCAACCATCATTAGAACCGGTTGAGTCATTGCCTGCTGGCAGCAGTGAATAGCTACTTTGAGAGATGGGTGAAATCCCTTGATTACCGCGGTAACCGCCTGTGTTATATCGGCATCGGCCGCGCGCTGGTCCCTCTCCGGTGCGCCAGCAGCGCTTTGTGTCGCGCTTAGTCGTCTGATACCTGACTCACCGCGCCCGGCCGGGCACGCTCTCCGGCTGCCTCGGCCGCCGCCTGCCGCCGGGGCCGTCTGGTGCGAGACCTCCACAGGGTGGGGCCCCGCTCAGCCGTGTGTCAGAGAGCGTGGCGCGACACGTGCCCCCCCCCCCCCCCCCCCCCACTGGCGCTGCCTGAAGGTCCGGGGGGTGGGGGAGGGGGTCTGGCGGGAGCGCGTGTCAGTGACAGGTCGGCCTCGTGGTTCTCTGACGGCTGTGTTCCGGGCTGGCGAGCGAGGGGCCGTCACAGAGCGGCAGAGTGACGTGCGCCTCTGGTCTTTGGCAACCGGTTCGGCAAATGCTGGGGGGTGGGGAGGGGGGGGGAAGCTAGCGGGGGTGTGCGGGAGGGGAGGGAGGTTGCGCCGCCGGTCGCCAGACCCTCCCCTGACACGTGTCGGTTGTCAGCTGACCTGGGATCATACCTGGGGTCCAGTTGTTGTCTCCTCTGACCTCGGTACGTCCCCGTGCGTGCTCGTCAGGTCAACTGCAGCGTGCCGTCGGCCGCCTGCCTGCTGATTATAGCGGCCTTCAACGATCCGGCCTACACGTCCGGTTCGAACCTGGCGGCCGTCACGCTGCTCGTCTTCTTCTACGGGTCAGTGTGGCGAGCGAGCGAGGTCAGCCACTGGACCCCGGTCTGGTGCTGGCCCAGTCTGAGATGTCCACACTGGTCTCGGGCTGCTCCTTTTAAAGCTGCGTAGTCTAACGGCGAGGGCTTTGGAACGCTAGCTCAATGCCTTACGCATGTCGCGTGGAGCACGCGGAGGGTAATTGTGAATACCGTGATTCAGATAAGGCGTTTAATTGATAGCCCACTGCGCCACATCGCATGTCTTGGATGACTTGTTATTAATCCATATGGCAAGAGGTTGTGACAAACTGAACGGAAAATGTAATTCCCGGCCGAGGACGGCACTGGGTGCGGTGTCCCTAACTTAAGCACTAAACGCGCTCTGCGCACACACGTCAGGAGGAACGGGAACGGCCCTGAAGACATGTTAGCCTCTAACATTGGTCTCAGAATTTGGACAGGTCGAGCCGCTGTATGCGCGGCGATCTGCAGCTAACCACCGGGTTCAGGCCATGGAAGTTGATGGGCTTGATGAAGGCCAGCGGCTGGACGGCGTCAAAGCCACGTCCCACGTTGTCGCACAGCAAGCGAGCCCAGCTGGCCTTGCGTATCTCGCGCAGCTGAGCGGTGGTGAAGCTGCCCCGCTGGCCGGCCTGGTCGTAGAAGAAACGGTCGCCATAGCGGGCGCGCAGGAACTGGTCGGTGATCAGACAGCGCGCCGTGGGGCCGACTAGCGCACCGGGCGCCGGCCGCTCCGTGTTGATGCCGACAAACAGGTCGATGTCGCGCCAGTGGTGATAGCTGCGCTTCAGACGCGCCACGTCCTGGGCCGTCAGCAGCGTCAGCAGATGGGACCAGTCGGAGATTTGGATGTTGTGACAGCGGGCCGCCACCGTGGCGTAGGTGGGGATGCCGTGGTCGCGACCCCGGTGAATGTTGAGCGCCATCAGGTCCAGGCCGACGGGGCCCACTTTGAACAGGTTGCCGTGGATGGCTCGCTCGAACCTGCGGTCGTACGTCTGTGGCTGCTGGCGCGTGAGGCCACGCGCCATCTCCGCGAAGACTTTGGACACCACCAGCGAGTCCGGCTGGAAGAAGTTGTCGGTGAGCTGGAGCCGGCGGTTGATGGAGCCGATCCTGGAGACCAGATCGATCACGCCCTGCACCATCGAGTGCAGCCGGAAGCCGGCCGCCGAGAACTCATTGCTGACGTCGGGGTTGAGGGACGGGACGTAGGCGTTCGGCTGGTAGCCGGTCAGACCGACCGAGTGCGCGTACGCGAAACCGACGATGCTTGGCAGCCACTCGTGGTAGGCGATGTGCTGCCACTGGCCGATCACGATCCGGCGCGCCTCCTGGTATAGAGTCTCGTCGGTCCATCTGTGGTGTTTCGCCAGCTCACGCGCCACGCGGTTGTGCTCGCGCACAAACACCGTGTGGAACAGCGTGAGCAGCGTGTTCTCGTTGACGCGCTCGTCTCCGGCGATGAAGCAGACGCGGCCGGTGCAGTTGGTGGCCGGCTGGGGTATCTCGCGCGGCAGCAGGTTGCCGGCGCTCGTCTTCAACAGGCCGGCCTTGAAGGCCCGCAGCTCGTGGGCCTTCTCGTCCGTGGTGCCGTACACCTGCGAGCAGTCCATCCAGCCGGTGAGCTCGTTGATCTGCGTGGCTGGCCGCGGCCGACACAGCGGGTCGGGCGCCGGGATGCTGCGCACGAAGTTCATGCAGCGGATCTTGTACTGTTTGTAGAAGGGGTCGGAGGCGGGCACGGAGATGGGCAGACACTGCGGATGCTTGAGGCTGGCCGGCAGCTCGAGGCCATTGTTGTCACAGCACTCGATCGGCGACAGTTTGCCGTCGGGTCCCTCGCGCTGGAAGATGGGCGAGATGGACAGGTCGTGGTCCATGAACTGGCCGAAAGTCACCACGGACATGGTGAAGATCGGCGCCGGGTTGTTGTCCACGTTGAACACCGCCGCGCTGACCTTTCGGGACGACTTGAGCGGGCCGCCGGCCGCCGACAGGCTGCGGGCCGCGAACACGCCGTCGTCGTACGTGCTGTCGAAGAGGCGCCGCAGCCCGCGGAAGTGGCTGCCCCATCGCGGTTGACCCAGGTTATTGCACTGGCCGTTGATGGTGCGGTACTTGGCCGAGGAGGAGCAGCTGATGGCCGGCTCCGGAGTGCAGTCGGGGACGCGCTGCGTTTGGGGGGCGGGCGTCGTAAACGGCCGGAACACGTCTTGGAAGTTGAACCGGTTTGTTTGACCGTCGTTGAGGAAAAAGCTGCGGCTGCGAGGTGGGCGGGCGCTGGGGCTGACGCCGGCCGCTGTCGGTGCGCGCCTCGCCCTGGCCTGTACCTGCTGCAGCGCCCGCAGCGCGGCGCCGCCTCGCCGCTGAGAGCGCGAGGAGGTGCGCGCGTTCAGGAAATTGACGCGTGTCGTGCCGCTAGCCGGCGTGCGGGCGGCCGGCGCCGGCGCCACCGTCGAGAATGACACGCGCGGCCCCGCGGCGGCGGCGGCGGGCCGCGTCCCGTCGGGCCTGAAGAACGTCGGCCGGGAAGCCGCCGCCGCCGCGCTGGGCCGGATCGGGCCCGTGTCGGCCGTGTCCAGGTCGAACGCCTGCAGGAAGCGGCGCGCACCCTCCGGCAGCGAGGCCCCGTCCAGCGCCGAGCGGCCCGACCCCACGTTAGCCGGGAGCAGTGTCTGGCTGTGCAGCGACGGCGCCGAGAACGAGAACGCCGACCGGGCGCCGTTGGCGGAGCCCGGAGGCGCGAGGAAGGGACAGCAGACGCCCGGCCCACCGGACGGCAGCCTGCAGTGCCGCGGCCGCGAGGCCAGCGCCCCCGGGCAGGAGACGGGGTCTACGCAGCGGCAGGACGCCGCGCGGCCGACGGCGCACAGCGCCGCCGTCAGGCAGAGCAGCCAGCGCGCCATAGCTGAGCGGGGGACGGAGGCGGGCGGCAGGGCGGGCTCCTGGAGCTGCTCGCAGCTCGTGGCTCGCCGGTTGGCGGCGGACTGGCCGGTCCCGGTTGGTCGCCATGACACGTCACCTGCGGTGTGTGGGCGGCGGCTGGTCAGAGGTGGCAGCTCGGCCGCTGGCAGCGTGTTTTGACATTTGGGACTCAAAGGCCGATGAACAAAAGCGGGCCGGCGCGTGACTGCTTTGTCGGTAGACGTCAGTTGAGCGCAAGGCCTGCTTGTTCTCGACAGTTTGGGCTCTCGGCAGCATTGTAGGCCGTGCTGTGCCAGCACAGTCACTTACGTCAGAGAGATGCAGTGGATTGCATCAGCATACTAGTGCATCAGGAAACAATAACGCCGTGCTTTAACGCCCCGCCAAAAAGCGTATTGCCTGTTGCACGCCATGACTTAACACGGCATCGATGGCACAAGCCCTGACCGAGGTTCTCATCTGCTTTCAAAGCTGTCAACATTGCCTGCCGTGTTTGGCTGGTTGGGCCGGCGCCAGCCTGTACCTCTGACCTGGTGTGTGACCGAACCCCCGCCCCAGGTGGTCGATGACGCCTCTGATGTACCCGGCGTCGTTCCTGTTCCGCGAGCCGGGCTCGGCCTACATCGCCGTGGTTATGTTCAACCTGTTCCTGGGCGCCGCCGCGCTGCTCACCACCTCCTTGTTCGAGAGTATCGAGGACCAGCAGGTCAGAAGGGTCACAAGGGTCACAGTGGCCACATCGGCGGGTCAGGTTGTGGCTCTGGTGATGGGGAAGGCAGCGGCGCCTCTCGTGTGGGCTAGACTGAGGGACGCGTGGGAAGGACGGGGCCAGACCTTGTTTCCTTTGTCGACTGAGAAGGCTGGGAGGGTGCTCAGATCCGTCCCCTTAAATGCATTTTTGGGCCTCGCGGCTGAGAGGCCCGGCAGTGCTCGGGCTCGGTCGGCGGATGCAAGTGCCAGCCTCTGAGAGTGGGGAGTGTAGGATTAGGCTCAGTTGTAGTGGAGCGATGTATCGTTATCCGTGTGAAGATGTCACTTCAAGTAAGCTTGCCCGGCTCAGACACTGCAGTTTGATGTGTCTGTGTTTTGGAGTTCCTATGTGCTCGTCTTTTTGAACCTGCATTTGCTGAACGTGATTGATTGGTGGAATACACTGGCACTGCTTGTACAGGTTTGCACATTTCTATCGCGCAGTTTGCTGGGTTACGGGCCAGAGCACTGGCTAGACAGGATTGTGGAGATGTCTGGCCGCACAGTACATCAATCTGACAACGTGGACAGCATGACTTAAGGGTTGGTGGGTAATCTACTGCGGGCCATTCAGTTGCGTTTCATTGCGATTGGGGCCAAGGACGTGCCAATCAGCAGAATATCAGCGCCGTGCGCTGGGACCAGCCGGACCAGCACCGCCAGCCAGCGGCGCTGGGTGCTGATGACACGGGCCGCCCTGACGTATGACTGCCTGTGTCCTCTTCAGGCGGTCAATGCGATGAAGTCCGTCTTCCTGGTGCTGCCGAACTACTGTCTAGGTCGTGGCCTGCTCGAGATTGCCTACAATCAATACCATAACGACTTCCTGGTGAAGACAGGTACTTTGTTGTTATTGCTGTGTGCATGGTGCATTTTGTGCGCTGTGCAAGGCTTATTTTCTGGCAAGCTCGGTCTACGTGGAGTCGTATTTTTGCGTAAGCGTGCCCGACTGTCGCCATGCCTTACCCTCAAGTGGTTACATCACGCAGTCCAGTATGAGCAACTTTTTAGCTCAGAGACGCCCCGCTGCGATGCTGGTTGGCCGTGCGCGGGTGGTGCTCGCGTCGCGCCCGTGTCCTGCCCGTCCGCCCGCCGGCCGCCTGGGCCGGCGTCCTGACCTCCTCTTCTTCCCCCGCCGTCCAGGCAAGACGGCTCGGATCTTGTCGCCGCTCTCCATGGGGCTGTCGCTGCGTTACGTGACAGCCATGGCTGTGACGGCGGCCGTGGGCGTGGCCGTGACGCTGCTGCTGGAGCTGCGGCCGCTGCGCTGGCGCCGCCGCAGGTAGGCGCTCCGACCGGCGGCTGAGGAGCGGCCAGCGGCGGCCGCCGCTCCCACCGGCCGGGTGTGTCAGCGGCGGCCGCTGTGCTGGCGCCGCCGCAGGTAGGCGCTCCGACCGACGGCTGAGGAGCGGCCAGCGGCGGCCGCCGCTCCCACCGGCCGGGTGTGTCAGCTGGGGCCGCTGTATTGGCGCCGCCGCAGGTAGGCGCTCCGACCGACGGCTGAGGACCGGCCAGTGGCGGCCGCCGCTCCCACCGGCCGGGCGTGCCAGCGGCGGCACAGACAACTGTGTCATCTCGCTGGTCAAGCAGTTCAGGGATATGTTGGGGATGTTGTCCGGACGTTATCTTTCTGTTGGCGCTTCTCTTACTTGACCCATTTGGCTTTCAATGCAGCTGTTATTAAGGGTAGTGCCCCAAGTGTCAGCTGACATAAAACGGACACATCGAACGTTAGACAGACTCCCACCTGAAAGCAGGCTGATCGCGGTGACCTGGATACATTGCATATTGAACATCAGCCGGCGTCGGCCGTCCGTCTGTCCCGCTGTCTTCGCATGGCACACCGTGACCCGCGTCCGTCTCCACCGCCAGAGGGCTGTCGTCGCCGCCGGCCGAGGAGCCGCTGGAGCCGGAGGACCGGGACGTGGCGGCCGAGCGGCGGTCGTGTTGTCGGTGGCGCCGCCGACGGCGACCGTGCTGAAGCTCGACCGCTGACCAAGGTGTACCGCGGCGCCGGCACAGCCGTGGACCAGCTCTGCTTCGGCGTCGCCCCGGGCGAGGTGGGAGGACGGGCAGCGGGCGGTCGCCGGCACAGCCGTGGACCAGCTCTGCTTCGGCGTCGCCCCGGGCGAGGTGGGGGGACGGGCAGCGGGCGGTCGCCGGCCGGCCGTGGTCAGGCGTTCGCGTGGATGTTTGCCCAAGATCAGTGTGGCGAACACGTGTCGCTTCTGCTCCTCTTTACGGAGGCTCGCAGATGGAGGTGTTGTTTGCCTCACGGCAGTTTTGGCGAAGACGAAGTTAGATAGGGAGAGCATGTGCAGGGATTTCGACGTATTAAGTTGGTGGCACGCTTCGCAGTTTTCATGTATCACTCGGGCTGTCACCAGCAGAGCTTGGCCAGGATTTCATTGAGGCAGGGGTCCGGAGCTCGGTGAATACGCACCACGCCTATTTCTAGTTTCTATCGGAATCCCGCTGTGGTGAAAAACGAAAAACCGGGTCCAAGGTGCCTCTTCCCCGAAACCCCTCCCCCTTTGGCTGTTGCTCTGGTAGCCAGGATTCAGTGCTTAGTGGTAACTGGTAAAGTTTAGAACAGGGTTATGCCATCGGATCTTTGGATGGAAAATTTGGTGACTCAGGTGGAGGCCAAACCGGGCTCTGGGCCTGCAAACTATAACGAAGTATTTGGACGCCAGACCGTTAAATCAGTAAGCACTTTGGCCGCCCCCAGGGGAGAGAAATGAGGGGTAGGGGTAGACGGGTGCAGGCATTGAACCCGGTCGCAGTGCCCGCCCCATCTGTACTGGGGTTGGAAATGGGGGATGGGCTTGGAGAGGTCGCCACCCTCCGTCCCAACCTCGGACGAGCTTATAAGTGAGTGAATGCTGTTGCATGGTCGAAATTTATGAAAATTATAGTTCCTTTCATCTCCACCTTCTGCCATCTTTGGCAGCATTTCCACGTCCTGTTACTTCTGTATCACTGGTTTGTATTGCCGTAGCGAAGCTGTAAATACTTCAGTTGTTACCAACCCGTGTGACAGGTAGCGCTGCCGTTGCAGTGTTTCGGGCTGCTGGGCGTCAACGGCGCGGGAAAAACGTCCACCTTCCGTATGCTGACGGGTGACAAGTCGGTGACGTCTGGCGACGCATTGGTTAAGCTACAGTGCGGCGATCACTCGCGAGATGTCAGCCTTCGCCAGGAGCTGGACACGGCGCTGAGCGAGATGGGCTACTGTCCGCAGCACGACGCGCTCCATGGAGAGATGACCGTCTCTGAACACCTCACCGTCTACGCCATGTGGGTAACAGAGGCCGCACCGTGACGAGGATGAAAGTCGACCTGTCGCGATGTCCATGAATGTTGGCATTCTCTCAGGTTCTAAGAAAAGCTTTCTGTGTTTTTGCTCTAGATCAGTCTCCTTGCCCCTGTTGTGCTAGGCGTGTGCATTCCATGCGGCAAGGCCTTGGTATAAAAATGCGAAGGCTTATGGTCTTCCGTCACTCGTCCAGAAGTCAACACTGACCCTGATCCAATGCCCCTGCTACTAGCCCTTCCTCGATGGATCCCGCCCCTGGATGTCTGGCCTGACCCGTGACCTGCTGTGACCGTCGGCAGGATCCGCGGCGTGCCCCCAGCCCGGCTGCGGTTGGAGGTGGACCGCCTGCTCCGGCAGCTGGGCCTGGTCGTGTACGCCCGGCGGCCGGCCGCCGTCCTCAGCGGCGGCAACAAGCGCAAGCTGTCCACGGCCCTGGCTCTGGTGGGCGCGCCGCGGCTGGTGCTGCTGGTCAGTGGCGGAGGCTGCCCTCCGGTCGGCCCGTCCAGCGATCGGCAAACGCGGCGTTGGTATTCATTGCGCCCTGAAGTCCGCGGTCGTCATCGTCTTCGTCATCACGTCATCCAGGCGTGGCGATACGTCCAGCTTCAGCCTGCAGTCCTTACGTGACTGGCGGCCGGCGTGTTTGACGATATCTCCGTGTCACCATGTCCAGAAGTCCGCCGCTCCTGGTGGCTGCTGCGGATGACCCCGTCCAGCGCTCGTTTTGCCGCGCCTCCATCCCACGTGATGCTGCGCGTCGCGTGACCCGGTGTCGCCGCCTCCGCAGGACGAGCCGACCACGGGCATGGACCCGGCGTCGCGTCGCTACCTCTGGGAGCTGGTGCGCCGGCTGGTGGCGGCCGGCCGCTCCGTGCTGCTCACCTCCCACAGCATGGAGGAGTGTGAGGCCCTCTGTACCCGGCTGGCCGTCATGGTGAACGGCCGACTGCGCTGCCTCGGCAGTCCGCAGCACCTGCGCAACAGGTCAGACACTGGGACGGCGGGACAGGTCAGACACTGGGACGGCGGGACAGGTCAGACACTGGGACGGCGGGACAGGTCGCACTCTGAGGCGGCAGGACAGGTCAGATACTGGGGCGGCGGGACAGGTCAGACACTGGGACGGCGGGACAGGTCAGACACTGGGACGGCGGGACAGGTCAGACACTGGGACGGCGGGACAGGTCAGACACTGGGACGGCGGGACAGGTCAGACACTGGGACGGCGGGACAGGTCAGACACTGAGGCGGCGGGACAGGTCAGACACTGGGGTGGCGGGACAGGTCAGACACTGGGACGGCGGGACAGGTCAGACACTGGGGCAGCAGGACAGGCTAGACACTGGGGCGGTGGGACAGGTCAGACACTGGGGCAGCAGGACAGGCTAGACACTGGGGCGGCGGGACAGGTCAGGCACTGGGGCGGCGGGACAGGCTAGACACTGGGGCGGCGGGACAGGTCAGACACTGGGGCGGCGGGACAGGTCAGACACTGGGGCGGTGAGACAGGTCAGACACTGAGGCGGTGAGACAGGTCAGACACTGACGCGGCGGGACAGGTCAGACACTGACGCGGCGGGACAGGTCGCACTCTGAGGCGGCGGGACAGGTCAGACACGGGGGCGGCGGGACAGGTCAGACACTGAGGCGGTGAGATGTCTGGGTTTAGGTCAGACCGCGGTGACAGGGTCTCGGTGACGGGTCATGCCGATGAAAGTCAGCCAGTGGCACTTAAAGAAGTGTCGAGGGCAAGCACGGGCGCCGGAGCAGAATCCTGAGAGTTCACTGAGCTCGATGAGCTGAAATGCAAATCAACGCCTTGCGGTCTTACGAATTGGCGCAGTTGATCACCTCGCGTTGGTATTGTTGTTGGCATGTTGTGCCATAAGCGGTCAGGGGCGCTGACACCAGTTGTCAGAGAGCATATGCTCGGCAGTCCGTGGTCCGAATTCCCGCCCCATCGCCAGGGGACCCCGCTCGGTGCCGTGTCGCTCTGTCGGACGTGACACCCGGCGCCGGCCCCCTCCAGGTTCGGCGACGGCTACACGGTCACGATCCGCAGCGGCGAGGCTGACCCGGACGCCGTCGACCGGCGCGTCAAGGCCTGTCTGCCGTTCTCGCGGCTCAAGGTGGGTGGTCCGCCGCCCTCGCGAGACATGGCGACGACCGGCCGGCTCCTGCGCCGATGTTTGTCCCCTCAGCTGGATGTTCGGACCCTGGTGTTCGCTTAGCTGAAGTGATGAGAGCGTGAGCAGTTTTACACACACACACAATTAGAGTGTGAGCAGTTTTACGTGCGGGTGCACTAACAGCTCAGTTTATCGCTGACAAAGTGACGGGTGACGTCACTGTCACGGCCTGACACCCGTGCTGACCGGCCAAGGACGGTCGCCCGGCCAGCCTAGACCAGCCTAGAAGCACCGCCCCCGCCGCCTGATCGTCCCGTCCCCACCGCCTGGCCAGCCTAGAAGCACCGCCCCCGCGGCCTGATCGTCCCGTCCCCACCGCCCGGCCAGCCTAGAAGCACCGCCCTCGCCGACTGACATCATCCCGTTCCCACCGCCCGGCCAGCCTAGAACCACCGCCCTCACCGACTGATCGTCCCGTTCCCACCGCTCGGCTGGCCGCTGTGTTGACCGCGCCGCCGCCGCGCGCCGTCAGGAGTGCCATCTGAACGTGTGGACGTACGAGCTGGGCTCTGACGCGGCGCCACTCGGCGAGGTGCTGCGCCGGCTGGAGCGGCTGGCCGCCCAGCTGCGCATTGACGACTACTACGTCTCGCAGAACACGCTCGACAGCGTGAGTCAGCGCGTCGCGGCGCGCCGGCCGCGGCGTGAGGTGGCGGGTGACGGGGGGGGGGGGGGGGGAGGGGGGGCGGGTGTCGCGGGCGGCGGACCCGGCCGCCCCACGGACGTCTCGAGGCCGCCGACGCGCCGGTGGCGGCCGTGTGAGGCAGCACGACGGCGCGATCTGCGCCGTCGTGCCGGCAGAACCTGACCTGCGGTAGCGGGGATGTTTGCGGCTCCGGTTGGTGTGTGCTCTTGCGTCGTGCCGGCAGAACCTGACCTGCGGTAGCGGGGATGTTTGCGGCTCTAGTTGGTGCGTGCTCTTACGTCGTGCCGGTCATGCCCGCCCGCTGATGGCGTTTCACGGCGCCGTGGTGCCACTGTCTTCTCACGGACGGTGTCATGTCCCTCCGCCCGCCCTGCCGCCGCTGACCCCGCCTCGGCGGCCACCGTCAGGTGTTCGTCAGTCTGGCCCGACACCAGAGCGAGTGTCCAGGCCCGGAGGAGAGGCTGGTGGCGCCCGGTGAGCCTCTCGATGACCGGGTCGTCTGCAAAGACCTCGAGCCGCCGCCCGCCCCGAGACTGCTGACAGTCCGACTGTGACGTCACAAGGGCTCCGGGAAGGTCTTTGGGTGACGTCACTGGATAAGAAGACGGACAAACGTCAACCAGCGGTCTGAGACCGTTTGTTGGGTCGCCGAGCAGCCAGTCTATGGCGCCACAATGCAGTGGCCTTTTTCGTAGCATGTTAGGAGTAGCCTGGGGCCTGTCAACATATGGTGCTGGCATCGCCTCCTTAGACTGGCAAACGCGTATGGGCTTCGCTACACGCTTTACGGTTGTGATGTTTTCGTCATATCTATCGAACGGTTCAACCAAAGTGACGGGCTTTACTTTCTTGCTGTTTGGTGTCGGTGCGTCTCGAATATCAATATAGGCATTTGAGAACAGAGTCGTTGCAAAAAACGCCCGGTGTGCCACACGTCTGTCTGTGTGGGGATACGGCTGGATATGTTGAGGTCGCTCACCGCGGGCATCAGAGCAGCGGGCGGGCGGCGCGTGACGGCGCCGGCTCCCCGCGTGCGGCGCTGCGAGGCCTGCGTGGCCGGCCGGTCCCGAGGGCCGCCGCCCACCGGACTGGCCGGCTCCTGTCGAGAATGTCTCATTCGTGGGGGTAGGAGGGCGGCGCACTGAGCGGTACGGCGGTGTCTTCTCTTTGCAGTGACTTAGACTGCAACACTCTAGATAGGGGCCATCACACGCGTCACATGATCCTTCACGCTTCGATTCATTGTCAGGGACCAGTTATACATAATGATATCGATTTATTTGGTCTGTGCGTGTGCATGCATGGGATGTAAGTCGTATGCATTACGCCTATATACATATATGTATATAAATATATTGTGCAATGCATATATATATATATATATATATATATATATATATATATATATATATATATGCATACATATATATACATATATATATATATATATATATATATATATATATACATATATATATATATATATACATATATATATATATATATATATATATATATATATATATATATATATATATATATATAGTTTGTCACTATTGTATTGACTATTGTTATGCTCGTTTACACCGCAGGTCTTCCTGCTCTCCATTGTAACAATACGTGCTCCCGTCAGTCGTCTCTGTTGCTTAATCATCGTGAATACATGGCTGTCCGACTGGATGCGTTTCGTCACGTTCCGGCCTGCGGTGACGCTCGATGTGTGCTCCTTGCCCCCCCCCCCCCCTCCCCTCCCCCTCGCTGTCCCGCATCTCACGCGCGGCGGGGGATGGCTGTACATGCGGGCGCGGTGTGACGAGTAGTTTGCACGCCTACGTGACTGCAGAGGAACGCGCAGGTCTTCCACGCATCAGTCATGCCGTTGAGCCGAGCATCGCGTGAAGCGCTCGGTCCTCTCCATGCGCGCATTCTGCGTGCGCTTCCATGCGGCTGCCCGGCGCTGACGTGGCTTCCCCTGGCTGGATTGATAGTGCCCCCCCCCCCCCCCCCTTCCCGCGGGTCCGCCCCCTGAGCGCAGCTCGTCTCATGGCGCTGTACGGCCGACGCGACGGACAGAGCCCACCCCGCCTGCCCTCGCGCCATCGTAGGGTCGCGACAGGTGATGTCATGGTCGGTACGCTGGCCGACGCCTCCGAAATGTCGAGCGCGCTTGTCAGCAGGGCGAGGAGACTCAGACAGGTCGACAGACTCGGACAAGCTGGTGCTGGGCTCTGGCTGAGCGAAGGGCTCATGGTTCGTGAGCTGCGCTTCGGCAGGTCGTCAGGGCACTGATGCAACGGATACGTTAATATACAATCCATTGTTTCGTTTTTTTTCATCGTCGTTTCATTGACTGAGCTCAGTTGATAAAAGTGACCGTTATTTCGAAGCAGTGTTACAAACGACGCGATGTGAAATCACGCACGATGCGTAGCGTGGACTTGGCACGAGTGCACACGTTTTATGCGTGATCTTCAGGTACAGCTTCACGTGAATGCACCGCTCGTGAGCTATATTTGCGCTTTCAGGTGCACGTAATGGCATCCGCATGTCAAAACGGGGATTTGATCTTTACTTGTGTGGTCGAAGCCCCCATTTCCATCGCAGCCCGTGGTTGCATAGCAGGACAATGGTCACGATCTGCGCCACACACTGTCAGGCCTCTGCTTATATACACAGACGGTGTGACAGTCTTAGTCACGGACAGTGGCAAACGTCCGAACAAACAGCGCCGCGTTTCTGTCAAACCCAACCAAATCCTTGAGAGGTCCTCCGCAGAGCCGTCGGTCAGCGAGCCTGCCCAGGACTGCGCAGAGCCCCAGCCTTCACTCAAAATGTCACTGGTCGTTTGGGGAGGGGCTATTCGCATCCGCCTGCCCAAATGCCAGCGTGCCCACACGGCCGGAGCCGGCCGGCGCGCTCACAGGAGCTGCGGCTGCTCCGCCAGTGACAGCGGCGGCGGCGGCGCTCATCATGCGGCGCTGGCTGCTATGCTTTGCCGCGCTGGTGGCGCTGTGCGCCGCCGGCCGCGCGGCGCCCTGCCGCTGCGTCGAGCCCGTCTCCTGCCCGGAGGCGGTGGTCTCGCAGCTGGAGGCGTCGGCCTCGGAGCGGCGGGTCTGCCGCCTGCCGTCCGTCGGGCGGGGCGTCTGCTGTCCGGACCACTCCTCCGACGCCACGCCTTCCTTCACGCTGCCCGGGCGGCGGCAGCGGCGGCGGCGCGGCGGCGCGGCGCCCCAGAGGCGCGCCACCACTGGCGCTCGGCGCCAAGAGAGCAGGCTGCTCAGCAGCTCCCAGCTGCCGCCTGGCGCGCGCGTCTTCCTCAGCCGGTTTGCGCTCGACTACGGCGACGGCGTGGCGAAGCGCCTCCTAATCGGTGAGCGCCGCCGACTGCCCATCTTCAGCACCGAGGCACTCGTGCCAAGGTCGCGCAGCACCGTGCGCAGCCGCCGCCGCCGGCCGGTCATCCGCCCTCTATCCTCGACGTTCCTGCGGGCGGCAGGCGTGCTGAGACCGCGGCCTCGCCGGAGCCCGCGTGCGAGCGGCAGCACACATCTGTTCCACCTCAACTCGCGCACCTCTTCTGCGGCGCAGAGCACGGCGCATCAGGCGCTGCGGGCCCTGCAGCAGCTCCAGCTGCGCCGTAAGACTGCCCACCGTCGCGTCAAGCGCCAGGTCTCATCGCGGCCCCACTGCGAAGTCGAGGACATCCGAAGGCCACTGCGGACTCACGACACGGCCCCACGGTCGCCGCGCTCGCCCACGAGGCTCCCAAGGCCGCTAATGACGGGACGGAGAGTGAAACGGGAAGCTCAAAGATCACGACGAAGGAGACGAAGGTCACGGCGAAGGAGACGGAGGTCACGGCGAAGGAGACGGAGGTCACGGCGAAGGAAACGGAAGTCACGACGACGGAGACGGAGGTCACGGCGAAGGAGACAAACGTCACGGAGAAGGAAATGGAAGCCGGGGCGAAATTCAAATAGAACTTCAAGGAGGCGGCGGCGCAGATCGCCACGCCCGCAGCGGGTCACACAGCGGCGCAGGTCACTGATTGCCGGCCGTGGACCGTTCACCTTCTGCAAGCCGCAGAGCCCACGGAGACCTTCTCCGACGCGGCTCAGCCGTCTGGAGAGGCGCCCGGCGCAGCGCGTGCCCAACTGTACTCCGGAGCCGGCGATCCGCTGCACCACCTCGGCCAAGTACCGCACCATCAACGGCCAGTGCAACAACCTGCGCCATCCGCGCTGGGGCAGTCACTTCCGCGGGCTGCGGCGCCTCTTCGACAGCACGTACGACGACGGCGTGTTCGTAGCCCGCAGCAAGTCGGCGGCCGGCGGCCTGCTCGAGACGTCGCGAAAGATCAGTGCGGCTACACTTAGATCTGATAGCGACGCCGGCGCCGGGCACTACACCATGTCCGTGGTGACTTTCGGCCAGTTCATGGACCACGACCTGTCCATCTCGCCCCACTTTCAGCTTCAGAATCCAAACGGTACCCTGTCACCGATCGAGTGCTGCGACAAGAAAGGCCTCGAAATGCCGGCCAGCCTCAAGCATCCGCAGTGTCTTCCCATCTCCGTGCCCGCCTCCGACCCCTTCTACAAAAAGTACAAGATCCGCTGCATGAACTTCGTGCGCAGCATCCCGGCGCCCGACCCGCTGTGTCGGCCGCGGCCAGCCACGCAGATCAACGAGCTCACCGGCTGGATGGACTGCTCGCAGGTGTACGGCACCACGGACGAGAAGGCCCACGAGCTGCGGGCCTTCAAGGCCGGCCTGTTGAAGACGAGCACCGGCAATATGCTGCCGCGCGAGATACCCCAGCCGGCCACCAACTGCACCGGCCGCGTCTGCTTCATCGCCGGAGACGAGCGCGTTAACGAGAACACGCTGCTCACGCTGTTCCACACGGTGTTTGTGCGCGAGCACAACCGCGTGGCGCGTGAGCTGGCGAAACACCACAGATGGACCGACGAGACTCTGTACCAGGAGGCGCGCCGGATCGTGATCGGCCAGTGGCAGCACATCGCCTACCACGAGTGGCTGCCAAGCATCGTCGGTTTCGCGTACGCGCACTCGGTCGGTCTGACTGGGTTCCGGCCGCGCGCTTACGTGCCGTTCCTCAACCCCGACGTCAGCAATGAGTTCTCTACGGCCGGCTTCCGACTGCACTCGATGGTGCGGGGCGTAATCGAGCTGGTCTCCAAAATCGGCTCCATCAGGAAGAGGCTCAAGCTGCAGGAGAACTTCTTCCGCCCGGACTCGCTGGTGGTGTCCAACGTGTTCACGGAGATGGCACGTGGCCTCACGCGCCAGCAGCCACAAACGTTCGGTCCAACCTTCGCGAAGGCCGTCCACGGCAATCTGTTCAAAGTGGACGCCGTCGGCCTGGACCTCATGGCGCTCAACATCCAGCGGGGTCGCGACCACGGCATCCCCACCTACGCCACGGTGGCGGCCCGCTGTCACGGCCTTCGAATATCCGGCTGGTCCGACCTGCTGTCGCTCATGACGGCGGCGGATACGGCCCGTCTGAAACGCAGCTACCGCCACTGGCGCGACATCGACCTATTTGTCGGCATCAACACGGAGCGGCCGGCGCCCGGCGCGCTGGTCGGCCCCACGACGCGCTGTCTGATCACCGACCAGTTCCTGCGCGCCCGCTATGGTGACCGCTTCTTCTACGACCAGGCCGGCCAGCGGGGCAGCTTCACCACCGCTCAGCTGCGCGAGATACGCAAGGCCAGCTGGGCCCGCTTGCTGTGCGACAACGTGGGACGTGGCTTTGACGCCGTCCAGCCACTGGCCTTCATCAAGCCCATCAATTTCCTCGGCCTGAACCCGGTGGTCAGCTGCAACTCTCGGCGCATACAGCGGCTCGACCTGTCCAAGTTCTGAGGTGGCGCGTGGCGCATGACTGTCGAGTCACGTGGCACTGTCGTCATGGCGCGACGGCTGCACGGGCATGAGTTGCCACGGTTTGTGTGCTTTGCTTTTAAAGGTTGGTAATCGAGATGTGCGTACAGATCTTCGCCTCTGCGCATGCATACTGCTTACACACCAGCTCATCGGCACGGGATCTGTTGGTTGGTTGCGTTTCCGGCGGCCTTCACCACGAGACGAGTTGTTTCGAGAAATACGGGCGCTAACCAGGCAACATTCGCCAGCAAACCTACAAAACTTCCAGTTATTGACCCTTCGTTCAAAACATTGTCGAGCTCCTTTCCCCGAATGGGAGCAACAGTTCTTTTAGGAACGGGCAATTAATTCCATTCACCGGCAAGGCAACCGAAGATCGAAACGCGCGTGACGTCGACTATCTAATAACATTGGAAGCCTCCTTTTGGAGCCAAAACCAAATCTCGGGACATGATTACAAAATCTTTATTGACAATACATTAAAACGAACATTGTAACTACTGAACCTCCCACAGGCGAGCTCGTGACATGATTACAAAATATTTATTGACAATACATTAAAACGAACATTCAAACATACTGAACATCCCACAGGCGAGAACACTAACACGGCGCCAACACTACAGGTACACAATAGGAGTAAAATACGCCAGCGCTGCCCAATGCCTCTCGTTCCGGACAGCGCGGTAAAAGCCCATGTCGTCCACACCCACACAATGGCCCTCAGCACGCCGCCGTGCCAGCGTGCCGTCCCCAGGACCATCCCAGCGGCCTCAGGCGTCGGCCGGACCAGGGAGAGCACACGCGGGGTCAGCTCCGCGCGTGACGCGTCAGACACGGCGTGAGATTACAGTACGGCTGCCTCCCCTCGCGGCCCTCGGCACAGTCAGCTCCGGCGCGGGGCCAGCCAGACACTGCACCGACGATGCGGCTGCGCGGTAGTTGCCCCCGCTCCCGGGCGGCGGCGGGGATGGCAAGCAGAGTAGCTAGGTTGCTGACTTGTCGGCGGCTGAGACCAGCTGTGTGACGCGAGGAAGCCGGCGACCCCTGCGGAGCTCTCCAGCACGCGGGCGCGCGCCCTTAAAGCTGAGTGGATTACAGAGCCCGGCGGCTATGTACAGAGCCACTGACGTGAGACATGGATGCTCGCTGCGCTGCATTGCCGCCCGCGGCCAGCGGAGCCGTGGTCCGAGCCGCGGACGGCGAAAGACTGAGTTCGGCGCCACCTCTGCGAGGTGGCCGCCACAGATGACACCGGGGGGATTCTGCGTTACCTATCCAGAGCTTCTCGGTCGACCACCTTGTGTTTCCTACCCGGAGCATCCCGCGCCCACCGGCGCACCCTCCGGCGACGCCTCTCGCTCTCGCACGCTTCTCTATTGCACGACTACACGCCCACCTCGCCGGCCATGGAGCTCACCACCAGCGGCTGCCCCTCCCTCCCTCGGTGCTCCATGTGAAGCCCAGCGCGCCGGCCCGACTCCCGCGCCGGACCAGTCTGCGGCTCGCTCCTCCCCGGAGCGCGCTCGACCGGGCAGCACGAGGTCAGCGGCGGGTGGCGGCGGTGGCGGCGGTGGCGGCCGGCGCGGCGCCGTCCGCCGTGGTGGCGGGTCCGGACGGCGCCCACTCGCGGCGCTGCCGGTCCGGGGAGCGCTGCTGCCGGTCCGGAGAGCGGCGCGAGCGCCGGTCGGCCATCTCGGACTGTTGACGCCACATGCCGGCGTACATGCCGTTCTTCTCCATCAGCTCGTCGTGCCTGCGGAGCAGCAGCACGCGGTCAGTGGCCGCGCGGTCCCGAGCGGAAGAAAAGCGACACAGCACCCAGGCGGGCGGGGGACTCACGGTCTGATGCAGGCTCACCTCACGGCTTATGGAGGCGAGGGGGCACAGGGGTGTTGGTGACCATACACGAACGTGTGCAAGTCACCGTCCGCAGTGCAGGTCAAACGGAGCGCTGGTGCAAATGTTGAACATGAGAGACAGTTGGGCAGCGCAAGTCTAATGTCACGCCAGTGTGCCCCGTGATTACTGTTCCACCACGGACAAAAACGTGGAGACAGCTGATGCGAAGTCGTCCAGGTGTCACAGAACAGGTGAACAGCTTTTTACTTAGTTAGTCCGAACGTTTTGAATGGACATATTTCTGAGATCAGACCCCAGGCTAAGCCATGCTTGTTGCATGAGTCTTGATCCCCGCCGTCAAACCGTAAAATTTCAGGTAAACGGTAGAATTCCATAGGAAAAGCTTACCATGCCGCAATGCTCGGCACTATCCGTCCCGATTTGTGACGTCACTTGACCTTTGGCTCAGCAGCTGCTACCGGCCCCCGTTAATCCCAACCAAGAACACAGCGGATGCCTAAAGCATCTCGAACCCCACCCAGCCACGGGTGGGTGAATCGGAAGGCAGGCGCCCGAGAAGGCACTGGCAAATGCCTAACGTATCAACAATAGGCCGAATGCTGACGATCCACCATCTTCACCTGCCCGGCAGCGCAGGACCACCACCATTCCCGCCTAACACTACACTTATGCTGTTTACGCGGCCGAGGGGAGGCCCTATTTAGGCCGGACGGTATACTCCGACGGTGGGCTAGAGACGGAGGAGCGCAGCGGGAGAGGCGCGCTAGCAGGGACAGCGCACATGGATGCGGTGGGGGCGGTGGACGCAGCACAATGATGTAGACGCCGAGACGGAGAAACAGAAACATCAACCATTGAAACATGTAACGACACACCGGTATCTGGACACGCCCTCGCAACTCGGGCTACAAATCGCTCCCTGGCCGGATGATCCTCTGATGAGCAAAGTGCTCTGAGCCGGCGCGCGCTTCGAACGGCGCACGGATGTTTACATGGATCCGAAAGTTTGGACCAAGGTCGAGTCCCAGCGTAACTCGAACCACGGCTGCCCATATCAACCGGGTTATTGGCCCCACTTCTCTGTCGCCGCCGACTGATCTGCTTCTATTCCCCGCTTAGCAATCCCACACCCCTGGACAAACCCCTCGCTTTTCCACCCGCCTGGCCCGCCAGCCTAGTGCCGCCCCTCAGTCAGCCTCACCTGCCGCGGCCCCTCAGCCTCACTTGCCGCGGCCCCTCAGCCTCACCTACCGCGGTCCCTCAGCCTCACCTGCCGCAGTGCCCCAGCCTCACCTGCCGCGGCCCTTCAGCCTCACCTGCCACGGCCCTTCAACCTCACCTGCCGCAGTCCCTCAGCCTCACCTGCCGCGGCCCTTCAGCCCCACCTGCCGCAGTCCCTCAGCCTCACCTGCCGCAGTCCCTCAGCCTCACCTGCCGCGGCCCTTCAGCCTCACCTGCCGCAGTCCCTCAGCCTCACCTACCGCAGTCCCTCAGCCTCACCTGCCGCGGCCCTTCAGCCTCACCTGCCGCAGTCCCTCAGCCTCACCTGCCGCAGTCCCTCAGCCTCACCTGCCGCGGTCCCTCAGCCTTACCTGCCGCAGTCCCTCAGCCTCACCTGCCGCGGTCCTTCAGCCTCACCTGCCACAGTCCCTCAGCCTCACCTGCCGCAGTCCCTCAGCCTCACCTGCCGCGGCCCCTCAGCCTCACCAGCCGCAGTCCCTCAGCCTCACCTGCCGCGGCCCCTCAGCCTCACTTGCCGCGGCCCCTCAGTCTCACCTGCCGCAGTCACTCGGCCTCACCTGCCGCAGTGCCCCAGCCCCACCTGCCGCAGTCCCTCAGCCTCACCTACCGCAGTCCCTCAGCCTCACCTGCCGCGGCCCCTCAGCCTCACCTGCCGCAGTACCACAGCCTCACCTGCCACGGCCCTCATCCTCACCTGCCGCGGCCCCTCAGCCTCACCTGCCGCGCTCGATGATGCGCCCCTCCTTGAGCACCAGGATCTGGTCGGCGTGTGCGATGGTCGACAGTCGATGGGCGACGATCAGGGTGGTGCGACCGGCCGACACGCGCTGCAGCGAGTCCTGTGACGCAGCGGCGACGGGGTCAGTGGCCGACGCCTGCACCAACGGACGGACGGGCACGCCGGCGCCAGGGGAACGGCACAGGCGCAGACGAGGTCGGGAGTCCACACCCGCGCGGACCGAAAGACGGGCGCACCCGGGGCCAGGGGAACGGAACAGGCGCGGATGAGATCAGGGAGCCGACCGGAACAACTGGAGTACGGGGTCAGGATCGCCACTGGAGGGCAGTAGGCAGGCCAGGGACTGTTTCTTCGGAAAACCAAACACGAAATAAAGACGCCATTGAAGCAGGACCAGCGCGTCGGGGATTATCCACTAAGTCAACGAGATGCAGGACATGGACGACATGAACACGGGACCAACACAGCATGAATTGTCCTTGGAAAGACATTCCCAGAGCCAGCGATGACAACAACAGGGCCACTTAGCCAGGGGCCCGCCTGGAGAGACCGAGCATACTTCAGCCGGGATAAGCGCCAGGTAACGTTGCAAAGTCACTGCCAAACGAACGATGCAAAGTTAGTGTAGAAGACCATGCCGCACAGCCGAGAACGGCATGATCCGTCTCCCTGAAGCATCCTGTCCATTCCTCCGAGCCCGACTCCCCACTCCCTGGCCGTCTCCACCCCTGACCTGGATGTTCCGCTCGGTCCGAGTGTCCAGCGCACTGGTGGCCTCGTCCAGCAGGATGAACTTGGGCGCCTTGAGGAGGGTGCGCGCGATGGCGACGCGCTGCTTCTCGCCGCCGGAGAGCTTCAGACCGCGCTCGCCCACCTGCTCATACGGGGCAGGACACACTGGGTCAGCACAGGCTACACGCGGGAACACCACGTGCAGCCTCCCTCCCTCCCTCCCTCCCTGCCAGACAGCGTCCCGACCTCGCTCCCACGCTCACGTCCATGTCGACGCACACCGCGGTCAACGCTAGCCACGCAAAGCCCTAAATAAGTACGACAGCGACAGGGCGGCACAGGGACCAGGCGTGAACGCCGGTGATCGAGTCACTCGGTGCGTACTGTCACGGCGACAGCAGGTGGCAGACATCACGTCCCGCGGGACGGCCAGTGACTCAGTGCATCAACATCATCATTATCATCAACAGCATCCCCAGCACATCGGCCCCAGCGTTTCGCCGTGCCGTGGCGGCGCTCGTCCAGCCAGGCCGAACCTCAGCGTCCCGCGCCGGTCCAGCCGCACTCACCAGAGTGTCGTACCCGTCCGGAAACGACACGATCTTGTCGTGCATGTCGGCGGCGCGCGCCGCCTCCTCCACTGCCTCCTCCGTGGCCGACATGCGAGCGTAGCGGATGTTGTACCTGTCGGCGGCGGCACGCGCTCAGCGCCGCCGACATCATGGGGCGGGGCAGGAGCCGACATTATGAGGCGGGACAGGAGCCGACATCATGGGAAGGGGCAGGAGCCGACATCATGGGACGGGGCAGGAACTGTTTGACTGATATGGAGATAAGACCGCTGAACTGTGAGATGCGAACTCACAACACCTGCACAACGCCAGGGTACATCTGCATTACTAGGTAATTTCCGACGCCTTAACAGACGCTGCAAGATGACATAAAATGTGATTTCATTGTTTGAATTACTTCACTAAAATAAAATAAGTCAGTTTTCCAGCGTCTGTTAAGACGCCTAACATTACTTAAAAGGACCCCATTCCCGCTGTTGGTATGTGTATGTGTGACGTGCTGCCTCCTCTAGCTTATTAGCCTACGTTTGTACCACTTAATTAACACAGCATCTGTTGTGTAGCATTGATCAAAAGCCTTGGCCGTGGCCGAGTGGGGAAACAATACGTGGAAAACAACTGACATAATTGAAACAAGGCCATTTACACCCAACCCATAACCGTTCGTCGCGCATGGTGACACAGGCCGTAAATCACAATCCTGATTAGGGTACACCCGCGTCCCGGACCAAGAGGCCCTGCCAGTCCGGCGTCTCACCTGATCGTGACCTGACTAAGGTACACCGTGTCCCAGACCCAGAGGCCCTGCCAGCCCGGCGTCTCACCTGATCGTGTCGTTGAAGAGCACGGTGTCCTGCGGTACGACGCCGATCGCGCGCCGCACCGTGCGCTGCTGCACCCACTTCAGGTCCTGGTTGTCCAGCATGATGCGGCCGTCGGTCACGTCGAAGAAGCGGAACAACAGCCTGATGACGGTCGACTTGCCGCCGCCCGACGGTCCCACCTGGCCCAGCGCACGGTGAAGTAAGCGACGGTCGGGTCAGGTCAGGTCAGGTCATGTCAGGTCAGGTCAGGTCAGGTCAGGCCAGCGGCCTAGCCGAGCTTACCCCGCCAAAGAAGGGCCAAAGAAGGTCACAGGACGCCCTTTCCGCCAATGGGCCCCTCTTTGAACTAAGGGGACCCTAATTTTCACTCGGAGGGCCTTTTAAGGCTTGGGAACCCATTTGGATGCTGCAGGCCCACATTCGACATTTTAGGAGCTATATGGGCGCCATAAATTGCCATGACGTACTGGACCTTTGGCACCAGGAGTGATCGCCACCCTCACTGGAGGGGACGGTCCCCAATCTCCCCTTGGGTCGGGCACGGCAGATCAAGCCCCGGGACGGCAGGTCAGACCCCGGGACGGCAGGTCGGGTCGGCTGGGAGCGGCAGAGCCAGGCGTCGGTGCCGCCGGCTCCGCTCTCCGGCTACCACAGTTTCAGCTGACGGCGGCGGCCGCCGGACGGCTTGGAGGAGGAGCGGCTGAGCGGGACGGAGCCGCGCAGGCCGTCCCCCCAGCGCGCAGCCATGCACGACTGGCGCCAGCATACAGCACCATCACCGCTCACAACTCTCCTAGATGAAGACGCGCGACAAAGCCAGAGCATAGGGTCTGCCCTCATCAGCGCCCCCCGTGCTCTCCGTCCTTCAACAGCGCCCACATGCTCCCCGTCCCATATCAGCGCCCCCGCTCCTCCAGCCCCTCACCCACGCCCCTCACCAGGGCGACGGTGGCGCCAGGCTCGACGCAGAACGACACGCCGCGCAGTATCGGCTTCTCCGGCTGGTAGTGGAAGGAGACGTTACGGAACTCAAGGCGACCTTCGCGCACGGTCAGCGGCGGCACGCCCGGCAGGTCGCTGATCTCCTCCTCCTCCTTCAGCAGGTCCAGCATGTTCTCCATGTCGATGAAGTTCTGCTGGATCATCCTGCGGCGGACGGCGCCGGGGCGTGATGCTGGCTGGGCCGACAGCTGACCGCGACTGACGTACACAGCCGTGCTATCCAGGCGCGCTGGTCCCTCGCAGTTGGGAATTGGCATTCTAACTCAAAACCAGCGCACGGCAGAATACCAGTCGCTTCCGCCCCTTTGGCCCGGGTATCCCGCAGGGGCCGTGGCGGGATATAGCGCTGCGAGGCCCGAAGAGTGACGGCGACCGAGGTCGACAGCCCGCAGAGTCGTGTTCTCCACCGGTTGAAAAGCTGCGCAACGAACAGCAGCACAGCTGTCACGTCAAGAAACCGAAGCAATGCCCGTGCGGCAGGTGATCAGACTTCGTCCGCGCCACTGCAGGGAAATTACCGCACCCCACGCCGAGCTGGCTCGTCGCGGCAACGCGATAATCCCGTCCCACCACACCACGAGACCATGACGAACAGCGCTGCCATCGTCCCACCGGCGGCACGGCCACCAGGCCCGCCTCCGCCACGCACCGGTAGTAGGTGCCGAACCAGTTGAGCGGCGCGTACAGCTGCACGATGTAGGTGGAGAAGAGCACGTAGTCGCCGACGGTGAGGGTGCCGTTGTCGGCGACGAAGTAGGCGCAGAGTAGCGAGCCGGCCAGCAGGCCGCCGTTGATCACTACGTTCTGCACCACGTTCAGCAGGTTCAGCGACGCCAGTGACTTCCAGTCCACCCGCTGAGGAGGAGCAAACGATGTTAGACGCCATCGGCCCGCGGCGGCCGAAGCGTACCCGGTCGGACTGCAGCCGGTCGGACTGCAGCCGGTCGGACTGCAGCCGGTCGGACTGCAGCCGATCGGACTGCCGCCGGTCGGGCTGCAGCCGGTCGGACTGCAGCCGGTCGGACTGCCGCCGGTCGGACTGCCGCCAGTCGGACTGCAGCCGGTCGGACTGCAGCCGATCGGACTGCAGCCGGTCGGACTGCAGCCGGTTGGACTGACGCCGGTCGGACTGCAGCCGGTAGGACTGCAGCCGATCGGACTGACGCCGGTCGGACTGCAGCCGGTAGGACTGCAGCCGGTCTCCGGCGGAGGGCCGGAGGAGGCAAGAGGCCAGCAAGGGCTTTCGCCGCTCGTCGGGACGGGACGATCAGCACACAAACAGCATAAAACTGTCCGGATCTTCTTGTGATCGCGGCCAGACAAAGCCCGCATCATAGGCTTCCCTCACAGCGTAACAGCGAAGGGCTCTGATACGTCGCTGACTCCACCCGAACACCGCCCTCTCAGCAGGCCAGTTTGGCTCTTAGCAAACCCCGACGCGACACTCTCTCGGACGTCTCCAAGCTGCTGACACCCGCCGAAGGAGTCTGAGGAGGCCAGCGTCCGTCGCCGACCCCGGCCTCACCAGCGCCCAGCGCCGCCCACCCGACTTGCCTGGCGCTCCAGTATGGCGTCTCGGTACCGGTTGACCTCGTATTCCTCGGCGTCGTAGTACTTGACAGTCTCGTAGTTTAGCAGCGAGTCCACGCCCTTGGTGCGCTGTGCGTTGTCCAGCAGGTTGCTCTGGCGCCGGTACTTGGTGCGCCATTCCGTGATAACGGCCGTCGACACTGGTGGCAGGCCCACGAACTTGTGGTTGCAGAGTGGCCGGCAGGCGTCCCCAGAATCGCGACGGCGCAAAGGACCCACCGCAGCTGTCAAGGATCCTGCTCGGGCTGAGTGATCGCTCGAGCACAGTCTGACAGCCCATTAAACAAGCGTCATGAACAGTGCCATTGCTTCGTTTGGAAAGCCTCATCATTTACATTTCAATATCTCCAGCTTTCTCCGGACCACCGGTCACTGAGCCCAATCTGACAGCCCATTAAACAAGCGTCATGAACAGTGTCGTTGTTTGTTGGGTAAGCCTCATCATTTACAGTTCAATATCGCCAGCTTTCTCCGAACCGGTGGTCGCTAAACGCGCGGCAAACAGACACTTGACAATCCCACTGAGCCAGTAAGAGCAAAGTTCATCCCGCCCGGCAGTGTAGAAGCGCACCCATATAGAGCAGCATCGTGATGAAGACGATGAGGCCGAACCAGGCGTTGAAGGCGGCGCTGAAGAACGTGATGGCGATGGTGATGTCGGCCACGGTGGGCAGGATCTGGAAGACCAGATAGCTGAGCAGCGAGTTGATGGATGAGGTGCCTCGGTCCATGACGCGCAGCACCTCGCCCGTCTTGCGGCTCAGGTGCCAGCGCAGGCTCAGCTGGTGCAGGTGCGCGAACAGGTCCACCTGTGGACACAGGACGCACCAGTCAGCCAGCGCAGCGGCGCGCCCTCCACTGTTCCAGCCCACGAATCAGACACCCGCCAACAACACGCTTCCTTCACAGCGGTGAAAGGGAATAGTAAGCTCGAGATACACGCGTCAGGCCATGCACTACCCGCCAGTGCCTCTGACGTGATCACGGCCACATGCATGCCCATGACGGGTGATGTGATAGCCGCTGACGCCGGCAGCACGGGCGTCCGCCCCAGCCGCCGCGCCCCGTCCGTCCCAGTGTGAGGCTCTTACCTGGACCTCGCGCTCGGTGTACTGCAGCACCTTGATCCAGAGCAGGCCGCGCAGGTTGTTGAGGGCGCCCATGCTGCCGACGCCGCCACCCTGGAGGAACTTGAGACCGACGTACACCAGAATGTCTTGCCAGAGGAAGACGGGCCGCGGGTGACCGGCCGTCTCCGTCAGGCCGTCCACTGCCCGACACCAGAGGGCGTCATATTACCCGGAGATCGGATCACGCGGGAGGGCGTCAGATGACACCACGTGGGAGCGGCCCGCACGGGAGAGCGTTAGATTGCACGGCGGTCCGAGCACGCAAAAAGCGTTGCATTACACGGAAAAGCGTCCGACCACCCGCGGGAGCGTCAGGCCACGAGGAAGGCCACTAGACCAAGGAAGACCACCAGACCAGAGGCACCTATCCCGGCGGCAGTCCACATGGCAATCTGAACACAGACGCTGTACACTTGTGCATCGTAAAGCGGCGCTGGTGGTCACAGACCGAACGCCGGGTAGATCAGCACGTCAAAAAGCCTCAAAAGTCCGATGCATCACGCCCTAGAGTTGTGTCAATCTTTCCCAAACCCGCCTGAACGACTGACGACGCTCGCTGCCTGACTGATAAACACGCAGTTGTGCTGTAGTTCAGCACTCGCCGAGCCTGGTAGGTATGTAAGAGGAAGAGCAATGCTCGCTGCGCATTTGCGGAAGATAGGTGTCCGGTGATTCCCACTTACAACAGCAGCACTAACCACTCCATTTGGTCATGTCTGTCAGTTGTATACCGATTTGAGCGTTACCCACACGCCAATATCTGGAAATTCACCACAGCTAAGCGCAGCTCTGGGTGCTGCCTTCGCGCGGGAGCTGCATCTACCGACGCGTAAATGAACCAGCGACGCTCCTCGATCTACACCTGTTGCAGCACCGAGTAGCATCTGCTTGGCAATAACGGAGCAGCATATACTATGTGTTCGCAGTAGTATAATACTCCTACTCAAGCATCAGGCAGCAATACTCAAGGCCAGGAGAGCGGCAATTACCGATGAACTTGTTGTAGGTGCATCTACCGCCTCTCACGAACTACTCGCAGGTGTCTTTACCCCCACCACTCACCGATGTACTTGTAGTAGAGCGGCACGTAGACGTTTATGACGCGCGTGCCGACGAGAAGCGCCATGCAGAAGATGACGATCAGCTGGAGACCCACGTCACGGCGCGGCCAGATGAACGGCAGCAGACGAGCCAGCTTCCCGCACGTACCGCGCCACGCGCTGCCCTCTGCCGCCACAAACGCAGCCTCGCCGGGCTGTCGCCGGGCGGCGCCACCGGCGGCGCGCGGCTGCCGGGCGGAGTGAGAGAGCGGCTAACGGTGCGACGCTGACGTCACAGCTGTGCGCTGCCATCGGCACCGCCATGTGAGACGAGGTCGCATTGCCCTGGACATTGCTGGACTTTCATGTGCGCGGTGGCCGTTGGCCACTGCAAGCCGACGTAAACGCCGTGCGGCCTAACTCCAAACACGCGAGAGGCGGCTGACAGCCCGCCAACTGTATAGCGCGTTCAGTACAGCCTTTCGCCAACGAGCCAATTTGTCAGCTGCTGGAATACATGGCTGGCTCACTGCGAGAAAGACCGCCGGCCTCAATTCCCGTGCTCAAGCATCGTCAGTCTTTACATCATGTATATGCATACTGCATGTTTGCGTGTCGCCAGCGTGTTAAGACCACATTTTCTGAGAGACTGTCAATTTTACAGCGCGTCTCGAACGCCTACGACGTCGCTGACCTTCTTGAAAACCTTCTGCTTTCCTGACTTGGCTATCCCGTAGTTCAACTTCCGCTGTCAACGCAAGGCTTATATAGCTGTGATCACGCGCATAATTACAACGACTGCTCCTAGTCGCTGAGTTAGGCACGCTCGCGGCGCGTGTCCTCAAAGCAACTCACGTTGTTCTGGCCCTGCACATTGCGCTGGTATGGGATGTAGTCCTCGACCCACGCGATGCCGGGAGCCCTGAAGCCGACCAGGAAGAGGAAGAGACAGCCGGACAGCCGGATGGCGTACAGGGTCACCTCCACGTAGTCAGACGTGCTGGAACACGCGGAGATGCATGCTGTGTACTTAGAACAGCGGTCGCAGTGGAACACTCCAGTCCAGGGCAGGCTGACCCAGCGATTCCCTGCCGTTGCTGGTCTGCGCCCTTCGTTTTCGCGGCTTGCGCAACGGCCACCAGAACGACAGCGATTGTATCAAAACCGGCTCGGCAGCCGCCGGCGCGGCGGGAGTTCGGGCATCGCATGCAGCCTAACACCGCACGCATTTCCGACGCGTGTGGTTCGACCACGGCATGAGCCAGCTGCCACACGTGCATTTTTTAAGCCCTGGTTTGGTTCCGTTTCGACAGACGCGGCCAGACCGAGTCTACTCACCGCGTGACGACCTCCAGCACGCTGGAGCGTCATCTCGCGCAGCACACGCCCATACACTTAACCCGGGGACTTCTGACGGGCCTGGTCACGGCAGTCACAGGGGACCGACTGCTCGCCTCCAACGGACCAACCTGTTGAGTTTGGGCCACCAGTCTGTGCTGCGCACGGATTGACCTGCTGAGTCTGAACCATCAGTCTGTGCTGCACATGGATTGACCTGCTCAGTTTGAACCACCAGTCTGCGCTGCACACGAACTGACCTGCTGAGTTTGAGCCACCAGTCCGCGCTGCACACGGACTGACCTGCTGAGTTTGAGCCACCAGTCTGCGCTGCACAGGGACTGACCTGCTGAGTTTGAACCACCAGTCTGCGCTGCACACGGACTGACCTGCTGAGTTTGAGCGACCAGCCTGCGCTGTGCACGGACTGACCTGCTGAGTTTGAGCCACCAGTCTGCGCTGCACACGGACTGACCTGCTGAGTTTGAACCACCAGTCTGCGCTGCACACGGACTGACCTGCTGAGTTTGAACCACCAGTCTGCGCTGCGCACGTTGACGGCCATGACGGCCTGTCCGGCCAGCAGCAGTGTCCAGGAGAGCAGTAGCGGCAGACCGTGGCCGCGTACCGGCACCGTAGGCAGCATAAAGCCGCGCTCCAGCATGATCAACCGCAGCGACAGCAGCCATGTCATGCTGCCCAGAACGGCCGACAGCACCTGGAAGCCGGCCAGCCGGCCGCCGTACAGCACCAGCAGCTGCAGCAACAGCCGCAGCAGCGCCAGCAGCGCCAGCAGCAGCGTCACCGCCACCTGCGGCCGGCGTAGGACGGTGAGGAAGGGCGGCGACGCGCTGACGGAGCGCCACGGACCCGTCACGGCCGGCCGCAGCAGCGCGGGGGCCCGTTGCCAACACGTGGGGACGTCTTGGTGGCACGCGGGGCCAGTCGTCGTCACACCATCACAAACCAGACATTGTCATGGGGACAGAGGACCAGGTGGTCGTCGTCAGATCGCGAGCAGCCGCCGTCACGCAGGCGATGACATCGTCGCGGAGAAGCTTGTCACCGTCGCAGGGACGCGAAACCATCACACAATGACCTGTCGTCTCTACACAGGAACCCAAAAATACAATATTACAACTGCACACATTGATAGGGGGATGTGTGCCCTTCACTTTATCATAAAATCCTCATAAAATGTGTCAAAACCTCTCTGGCATGCTCAGCACCTGACCTGCAGCTTAAACAGCCAGGACTTGGGTCGGCTGTAGTGCTCCAGCGCCGTGGCATGACGACGGTAGAAGATGATCTCAAAGGAGCCAAGGAGCACCAGCACACCAGCTGGCACCGATGTGCAGATGGTCTCCAGGAAGCACTGTGACACACCATGGTCGTGCCATATGTTCCAGGCAGTGGTGTTTGGAGGACAGTATGGCAGCATAGCTGCCCCTCTGGAACAAGAACAAAACAGCATAAGTACTGATGCAATGGGTGACTGCCATAGAGTGTATGGACAAACTGTACCCCATGGCCTTACCTGCTGTTTAAATGCCCAGGCCTGCCTGATAACTTCAAAAAATAATCCATAAAGTATTTGTTTACAGCTGTTTGTAGTGTATTTACCCATGGCAACTAAATGAGGTTAGAAAACAAAAAGTTTGGTTTTCTCAAGCATAGCAATGACTCCTAAATGTGTTGACAATACTTAGCCATAAATCTACCCAAGTTTGTTTAACCTTGGAAGGCATGCCAACAAGATTTACATGTCCAGGCAGGATTTACATGCCTTTGATCTGGTTTTCCAATGCTTTCTTCTGCTTAAGCTTGTTTAGTCATGACCATAAGCACAGCTTTGAATGCAAAGATCTGACAACATAACCCATGTTTGTATGACAAAGTATGCTGGCACATCATAGTATATTGAGGGTTGATTATTATCCATTTAACAGCCCCACTCACAACAAACATATACACTAGGAATGGTACTGAATGAGTCAAAACAAAAAATCCTCATGAAATTCTTCATGGAACAAGTTTATTTAGGTTGTCAGAACAATGCAGTCTACCAATTAAACAGATACTTACACCACAGCTCATCAACTGGTGCAGAAAGTGTCTATTATCCATGCTAATTGCTAAAAGCTGCTGGTATGGAACCAGGTACACCCATTTACTGACCATAGGTGGCTTGCATAGCCATCAGAAACATACATTATAATGACTGTTTTAGGCAAGAAAAGGAGAATGGAGACAACTAACCCATGCCACCGCATTGTCATGTCCTTTTCCAACAAGTAGTGGAATATACACTTTGTACACAAAGGGAAATCCCAGAAGTTCTGGTTTTTGCTCTTCCAAGTAAGGAAGAAATGAATTCAAAGATTTGGAAATCTTCTCAGCATTTGCCTTGATGAACATGATTATTTAAAATAAGCCCTAATATGATGCACAAACAAGAAAAGAAAATGTAACATGATGGCCAAACTTCAACAGAGGTAAAACCTTCATAATTTCCATACAGAACACCTCTGGGACATATCATCCAATCATTGCCATTACCAGGGATGGCGCCATGGATTTTGAGTGGGACACCTGGCTTCCAAGAGGACCTCCTGGACAGAATGGGGCCTCCTCAAATGGGCACCTCCTAAGCAGTGTTACATTCAGGGGGGGGGGGGGAAGAGTGCTGAGGGCAAGTATATCTCTTTTAAACTGTTGAATTTATTACATCTACATAAATCCAAGTAAATCATATCCAAGTAAAAGACCTCCTGTTCAATAAATCAGATATGCTGAATATGGAGAGTGACCCTGAGCCAGAACAGGGCCTCCTAGTTGGTATTGGGAATCCCAAACCAGCTAAGGGCCTTTCTGAACACAATATTGGGCCTTGTTATCTAGACAATAGGCTATCTTATTAATAAAAACCACCTCATGATCAAGAAAATGGCCCACCTAAAGAAGTTTTCTGAGTCAGTTCAATTGCTTTCTAGCTTTGTTATGGAACATCCTTGATCTGTATTTTTGTAATCTAAATGCTGTAAAAAGCAGGTTTTGTATGGCTAAGTTCCTCACTTAAAATGAAGACATTTGATAAACAAGTGAAGACAGATAACACATTAAAAGCAATATAAATCATGCCCAGTTGTGCATACTATCAACTGTCCCTTTGTCTAGTTTGGCATGCATAATGTACAAAATATCCGACAACTATGTGGGCCTTGGGAGATATGTTCATTCATATCTCAGCAGACAGGTGCAAATTTGGGCTTACATAACTCATTTATGATCCTCAATCACATTGGCAAATTACCATGAGCCAAGGTTGCGAAAACGCGGGAATTCCCCTGCAGTGAACTCAACGTCCTAGTACAAATACCCATCCTTAAATTCGCTTCCATTTTGAATAAAAATTAACATCATGCAAAAAAGGCAGCAACGTGAGTAGCTATGACGTAGTTCCTTTCATCAAGATCGGGACACAAACAAGCGGCGCCCCCCGCACTCACCAACACTTCCTCCCCGCTTGCCGGAGCCTCTGAGACAGCAGGACTCGGGGTCAGCAGTGTGTTGTGGTCGGCTTAAAACGCGGCAATATTTACCATCGCGGCAACAACCACCAAATCCGAGACAAATTTATATTTCAAGGGCAAAGCTGACCAAAAAGCTTCAACTTTGTAAATCTTTTACTTTTTTAGAATAAAATCCTTGCCAAAAGCTGCTTAAAATTGCACCACATTATGGGACTGCTATGCATGTGCTGCGTATGGCCACTGGCGGCACGTGCCGAAAGCTTCAGTACCACAGTCTCCGGCAGATGCCGCAATGTTTTTAATTGACCGTTCGGGCCCGTTAGCCGATTGGCTATTCGAACCTGCAATTCGCTTCCCAGGGCTGTCTCTTTACATGCTCCTGGAGTGGGCCTTAACCAATTTTGGAGCCCCAACGCTCAATTAACCCCCCCCCCCCTCGCTCCCCGATGCTTATCTGAGCCACTTCAATGCATATTGTCAAGTATTTTAACCCCGGTGGTGGAGGACCGCTTGCCACCCGCGGTCGGCAATGTGGGCACGGGCGGGAAGGAGCGCGGGTGCCGTCTCGTGCATGGTGCCGGCCAGTTTGCACCCGGCACCACGGGGTGGTTGGTTCGGAAACCTGTCGCCAGCCGGCACTGGAACCACGGCCTGCTGCTAGATGGCGGAAACAGCCGTGCCAGGCATCCTTGGTGTCGCAGCTGAATTTTGCATAAGTGCGAGAAGGTGAGCTTCCGATCCCAGGGAGACCACGATGCGGGGCGTGGTGAACGCGCTCCAGTGGCACTCCGCACTGTGGTACCATTGTGCGGAGAGACGTCCTTCTGTTGAAGGTTTCGAGAGACGAGCCAAAGAGGGTGGGACTCAATAGTCTGGTCATTTGGCCACGGTGATGCGCCCATTTCAAGGCTGAGTGTGGCATTGAGCTTTCGAAGGTTCGCTGACTTGTCCACGTAGACGTGGTTTTGAGGTTACCATGGATGATGACGTGGCTTTGAGGCTACCGTGGACTTGAATGTGTTTTGAGGGGGTTGAATCATGACGATGGACTCCTTCCATCCCCAACATACGCCGCAAACGGTTTTTTTCCCGAATTTGGCCCACTTTTATTTCAAAGTTGAGGGGGGGGGGGGTCTGGACACCAAGTTGGGGGTG